GAGATACCCAATGTGGAGCACTGCGCCAAGCCCTTGGTGAAGCTTTGCATTCATGGCTGTGCCCAGGAAAAAACACCTTTGGGTTGGTCCCAAAAATTGGGAATACCTGGAATACCCCCTCAGTTTATGGCAATTTTAGTGGGAAACTTGAGGTTCTAGACGATTCGAAACTGCAGGAGTTTGTGGTACTTGTGCATTCAGACAAAGCCGTTTGAAGCACTTTAAAAACTCGAGGTTCAGCGGTAGTCTAACCACCCAAAAAATTGGAGATGTACCGCAAAACCAATGAGGAATGGGGATTGCCCCAGGAATGGGGTTAAACCGCTGACCAAGAGGATGACAGTCACTCACAGGGCCGATTCAGTTGGGAAAAGATGCAGGAACTCCGTGAAAGTCACCGTTGCAACTTTCACATGTTTACTGCACGTGATTTTACGCATTATTTACATTTATTTCTGATATTTACCCTCTGGTAAACTAACATAGCTATGAAAAATCACCATTTTTAATGGGAAAATCCACTATAAATGGCCATTTTCCATTGCTATGTTAGTTCACCAGAGGGTATTCATTTGGATGGGTCTGGGGATTGCTTTGATTGAACCAATTCCGATGGGACATGGCATGAGAGGTGAAGAACCTCACCCAGTGACTGCAGAGAAAGTCTAACGTGTAACGTGTAGACTTCTTGTTTGGGAGCACTTTTTAAATACCCTCTGGTTATGTCAAAATAGCTATTGAAAATGGCTATTTATAGTGGATTTACCCATTAATAGCATGGTGATTTTCCATAGTTACGTTAGTTTACCATTGGGTAAACAGCCAGATGAGCCATTGGAAGTTGTATGCGATTCTGTTGATATGCGTTGATATTATCACTGGACAAGCATGGACACTCGGTTTCTCAAGGCCTCGGTCACTTTGCCCTTTGTTGAAGCATGGCCAGGGTTCCCCTGAGGTCTTCACTGGTTGATGCTGGAAGATAGCAAACTGCAACAGCTGGCCATCTCAGTGCTATCCAAGTGCAAGACGTCCTTTCCATTCATCTCCAGATGCCAGGAGACTGAGATGCCCAGCGGCCGAGCTCATTTGCCCAAAGTGTTCATGGAACTCCATAATCTCAGTCAAGATGTCCGAAGGAAAATCCTCCTGAAAAGTTGGGAATGCCATGTGTGCCGAATGTTTGATATCCCATTCCGGTCATGTCTGGGATGTTCACCGGGACATCCGGGTTTCACCGGCCGCAAGACCTTCCCAAAAAGGGGTTGACCCACAGTAGTGATCTATGAAAAGTCATTGCGCCCATCCATCAATCCATTATGTTCACATCGTCGCCCATAAGGTGAGGCCCAGTTAGATATTATTGACCCATTCAGTATATCTATGTGCTGTCTATGTGGGTTGACCCATTATGTACTATATTTTATGTACTGTTTATGGACTGTATATATTTTATGTACTGTTTATGTACCAAGGGCTCGACCCATTCACAAAGACTTGACCTTGGTTCAACTGGTTCAACACAGGAGCCCTTGAAACGCCTTTGCGACGACGCCAGCTTCAGCACTGAGATCCTCTCCCTGTCCTCCAAAGAGGTGACGGCGGATCTGACGGCACGTGCGGAGCAGGGGAACCTGCTGTTTGAGAACAAGGCGCGGCCAGCGTGCATCAGCCATGGGTGTCATGATCCCAATGATCCCAAATAGGGGCATACCACAATAAAAAATAGGGGCACACGGCATACCACAATAATAAGTAGGGGTATACCACAATAAACTGAAACTGGATCAAACTGGGGCTGGTTTATGATTTTTGGTTGGCCATATTACACCACAAGATGCTGGCATACCCAGCACATCCCAGCACTAATCAACTGCCAAGGATTAACTGAGCATTTCTCAGCGGATCGGTCAAGATGAAGCCTAAGACTAAGACGTCACATCAGTTACCCTCCAGTAAACGTTTACATAGCTATGGAAAATGGATCATTTCAATTTCTAGATGATTTGCCTATGAAATTAGTGATTTTCCATAGCTATGTTAGTTTACCAGAGGGTAGATGATTGTTTATACATCCCAAGGCGTCACACAACCTTCGCTTCATTGCTGGGGTGTGAGTAGCAGAGTGCCAGGGTGAAACAACCAACCCAATTGATACAGTAGCCACATGTGCCGCAAAATCTGGGATATTCTGGGTTCACCTCAGGTAGTTCAGTGGTCCATCAATTTGAGTTTTTTTAAAGCAAATATTCATATCGCGCACACACACACGCACATTTATTTATATATATATTTATTTATTTATATACGCACGAAATAAACAAAACAACACATACTGAAAAAATGAACAAATTCATTCTATCATGCTATCATTCTATCATTCTGTTTGTCTATCTATCTGTTTGCCTATCTGTTTGTATGCGGGTATGCATGTATGCGTGTCTGCGTGTCTGCCTGTGTGTGTCTGCCTGTGTGTGTCTGTTTGTCTGCCTGCCTGCCTGCCTGTCTGTTAGTCTTCATCTATCTATTATCTATTTATTTATTTATTTATCTATTCATTTATCTATCTGTCTGTCTGTCTATCTATCTATCTACCTAGCTATCTATCTATCGATCTATCTATCGATCTATCTATCTATCGATCTAATCTAATCTAATCTTAATCTAAATCTAAATCTTAATCTAATCTAAATCTAATCTAATCTAAATCTAATCTAATCCAATCCAATCCAATCTAATCTAATCTATCTCTCTCTCTCTCTCTCTCTCTCTTTCTCTATATATACAAATGCGCCCGCCCTGCTAAGAAATGCAGTGTACCTAAGACCATCCATGCATTTCCCATCCATGATGCCTCTGTCAGGACCAGCTGATGCCTCTGGTGCTTCGGATTTTGTTTTCCAAGGCCACCCGCAGCTTGGGCCGGTGAACTCGCTGGGTTGAGGGCTGATGGGTGGCTTCTGAGAGCCAACTTTACCCAGCCAACGTAAAAACGATGGTTTCCTCAAGATCCGTCCCTTTTTCATTCCCGCAGACTCGTTGGATCTCCCAAGGTAAGGGCAAGCAGTTGGACAAGCGCAGCAGCCAATCCTCGCGCCGCAGCTCAGTCTTCGCCTATTTGTCTGGCCTGGCCGAGGGCTCGACCGCACTGGCGGAGCTGTTTCTGGTGATCCTGGGCTTCGTGATGATGGCGACTCGGACATGGTGAAGCCTCCAAGTTGGGGGGAAAAGGAGCCCGAAGATCGGGGAGATCAAGATAGATCATGGGAAGTGAAGATATGGGCCATGAACTCAATGAACCTTGCTGGGGGATCTACTTGAAAGGGTTGGAGTGGATTGATGGTGGGATGAACACATCCATGAACTCTAACTAAGATGATTGGGGGTATTGCCAGGGTCGCCTGCCGCAGCTACGGGTGTAATTGACTTATTAGCATGGTTGGTTGTGTTTCAGTTGCAATACGGGATGCATATCCAAGTAGGAGTGAGTGCCAAAAGTGGTGACTGGCTGGTTGGAACGCCCCACAAGGGTGAAGGCGTACAGGAAATCTTGAAAACCTTCATATTGGATGAGGAAAAACATCGGAAACTCCCAGTGAATAAGCCCTCAGTGGTTGCTGGTCGTTAGCAATCCATTAAATAGCAGTTATTATATATGGGTGGGTTCACCTTTTCTGGTGGGGTTATCCACTGTTGTCCCATTATATCCCCCTTATATCCCATTCTTGGTCGGCCGAATCCCCCCATGTTCATTGGATACCATTGGATTGAGCATGGTTTGCTCCATCAAATATAAGGGTTTTCTTGATGTTTCCTGTAAATTTTCTTTGAGACCAATGATATGTCTGGATAGATTATGATTATAATGATTATAACCACCTCGCGACGCTACTGGAACGATTGTTTTTCTTGGGTGGAGGTTTCCTAAAGTGGGGGAGTACCCCGAAATCATCCATTTTAAATATTTTTAAATCACGTTGATACGACTTTCCATTAAAGACTTATCATTCTGGGGATACACCATTTATGGAAACCCGATAAAATCATCCCCCCATTGTGGGCCTTATTTCAGGCGAATCCTCCCGGATCTTCCGAGGTTTGCTCCACCGACGACCTGGGGTCCCGCGTCAAATCCAACCTCCGGCGAACGGGGCTGCTGCGGCAAGCCTTCACACAGGAGAATGGTGGGTTACCCTGGCCACCAGCAGGTCCTCCCCATGGGTTTAGTGAAGTATGCATATATTTGAAATTGGACATAAATATGATTAACTACCATTCATATAGTACTAAAGTACAATTCAGTAAGCACTTGACTCTCTGTAGAGAAACCCATAAACATCTAGAAACATATTTGTAGAACATGATGTTTGCAACACACTAAAATTGTATGTATATGCAGGGAATGAAGACACGAATATATAGCTAAGTCAATAGAAAACAGTTATTGTTTAATCTATAGTCTATTTTTGGTACATAATGCAACCAACACACACACACCCGCACACACACACACAATGTGTGTGTGTGTGTGATACGTATGCAATGTACATTTTCGATTTTCTCTGTTCAACTCGAACACAGGCCTTTTTCGTCTCCCAGGACCTCTCGAAGCCGGCAGTGTGGTGGAGCAAGTGCAGTCGAAGCGGTGCCACCCGCTGGGGTCGAAAAGTTACTGAGCCGTAGGGGTTGGGCAATAGATGGTAAACCCAAGAATTGGGTGAAGTAAATGCAAAAAATGCTCAGCATCTACGAAGATTTATTATTGTTTGGGGATGTTTGGGGTTGAATATGTGGTATCTCAACTTATTTGATTGGCAAATGCAATTAGATCAATTAGTGAAGAGAATCATCATAGCAATAATCATCGCAGTAACCACCAGGACACTTATGGTCCACAGCGCCCAATAGCAGGACGGGATGACCATGCGGCATCATGATCCAATTGATACTATTTCACCTCTTAAAGGTGCACACGGTTTACTCCAAAAGCTGGGTCTATAAGATGAGAATGCATATCAACTTGCCATGTCTCTAAATTCATCCCTTTTTTTGGGGGTTTGTTTAGCATCTGAGGTTTTTCAATGAACACATTGTGAGGTACAGTGAAGACCGATGGTGTTTTGTGTTTCGCCACCCGAGGACGGGGAACTTCCCATTGGTTGGGTCTTCCCATCCTCGACCGCTTCGGAAGCTTCACCGGCCTCATGGGTGCTGCTTGATGCGGAAGCGTCACCGCAACGCCTGCTGCTGGGCTGGTGCTGATGGATCGGGGGTTACCAACGGTTACCACCCATATGGACTGATGGTTTATAATTTATAATTGCATGTTTATACATGTTTATACATGTTTATACATGTTATACATGTTTATGCATGTTTATGCATGTTTATACATGTTTATACATGTGTCTACTACCCACATAACTGGTAAAGTTCAGGATGGTTTACGATTGCTTTACTAAGATGATTGGGTTTTGCCACAAGAGAAAAACTGTGGGTCTGGCCATGGCATGTTTCCAAGATCAGGTGTGATCTACCCTGACTTGGAAATCGCGTGGGAATTCTATGAACAACATTGAACAACATTTTATGGATGGATATTTTAATGCGATCTACCAAAAGGCAATTTCTGAATACTAGATGGCAGCTGTGGTGTTAACCACAACCGAAACCAGAGCACCCTTGTTGAGATACGGTTTCAAGATCCTCCCCTTTGTTACTTCTGACTCCTTCACTTCCATCTTTTTCGAATCTGATGAAAAAGGCTGGGCGTGCTACAAAGCTTGGAGGAGGTGATTCCACACATGGCGAGCAAGTTGATGGACAGCGCCTGGCCAGTGCGTTTGATGCAGCTTGCCTGCAGCATCTTGGAACGCGCTGGGCGCGTCACGCGGGCCATGGAACGACACGAGCAGATGCACATCACCAGGTGCGGGGCCCAGGTGGGGCTGGGGAATGGCTGGGATGAAGGGAATTTGGAAGAAAATCGCGCAGAACAAAATTGAAATGACCAAGAAAAGACATGAAAAAGATGAAAAAGCTTCTTTTGGTGTGAACACGCGACTTCAGCATGTTCCCACTGCAAAATTGCAGGACTTAGGGAGCATCAGGGGGCATCCACGGCGCCAACGGATATTCATTTAATACTAGCATTTTATAGCATTGCAGAGCTTGTATCCATTGAGACAAGAACCTCCACTAAACGCTTCATAATACAAACAATAAGCCCTAACAATTAAAGAGGGGGATTACTCCCAAACTAGTTTTCCAATGTACATACTTTTGAAATTAGCACCTTATCAATCACACTTTGGGTTTAATGGGTTTATATCCCCAATGGCCCCAATGCTTAAATCCTATTGCAATTGGATCCCATTAGTGGTTATACTGTTATACTTTATTGGTTAGTTATATCCCGGAACTGACATCCTTAATCAACATTGATCCTTCATTCACATTCATGGGAAAGAAGGGTTTTCCCACATTTTTCTTTATCTTTCCCCTAGGGTGACCCTTGAATTATGACATCATTGACATCCATCTAGGGTAGTTACATTAGTTAAGATTATTGATCAATCATTAACTCATTAACATTTATTGGTTAGTTATATCCCTAGGGCCAACCAAACCCTTAGCCAACTCGAACGATGGCAACGCAGCGCCGAGGCAATGCCTGCGCTCTGCGATCCTACGCTGCAAGGAGCTCCTGGAACATTTCCCCGAGCAGCTCACTGCGCTGCTGGACGCCTTGAAACTCGGTGATTTTAGAGCGGGAAGGGTACCGAAGATTGCTGGTTCTTAAAATTGAGACCAATATATCAACAGACACACACACACACACGGAGAGAGAGAGAGAGAGAGATCTATCTATCTATCTATCTGTCTGTCTGTCTGTCTGTCTGTCTGTCTGTCTGTCTGTGTGTCTGTCTGTGTGTCTGTCTGTGTCTGTCTGTGTCTGTCTGTGTCTGTCTGTGTCTGTCTGTGTCTGTCTGTGTCTGTCTGTGTCTGTCTGTGTCTGTCTGTGTATGTCTGTGTCTGTCTGTCTGTGTCTGTCTGTCTGTCTGTGTCTGTCTGTGTCTGTCTGTGTCTGTCTGTGTCTGTCTGTGTCTGTCTGTGTCTGTCTGTGTCTCTGTGTCTGTCTGTGTCTGTCTGTGTCTGTCTGTGTCTGTCTGTGTCTGTCTGTGTCTGTCTGTCTGTCTGTCTGTGTCTGTCTGTCTCTGTCTGTCTCTGTCTGTCTCTGTCTGTCTCTGTCTGTCTCTGTCTGTCTCTGTCTGTCTCTGTCTGTCTCTGTCTGTGTCTGTCTGTGTCTGTCTCTGTCTGTCTCTGTCTGTCTCTGTCTGTCTCTGTCTGTCTCTGTCTGTCTCTGTCTGTCTCTGTCTGTCTCTGTCTGTCTGTCTGTCTGTCTGTCTATCTCCCTGTCTATGTATCTGTCTACCTATCTATCTATCTATCGATCTATCTATCTATCCATCCATACACGGGGATGTAAATATGGTTGGACCATCCACATTTCTCAGAAATGTTCGTATTTAAGTACTGTGACCAATAGACATGGATAGGTTTCCGACAATAGGGCTTTCACATGCTTTAACCATTGGAAGATTCAGTTTAAATCATATTCAGACTACAAAATGATGAAAAGACACCATGAGCATGCAACTTGTGGTATCGCACCAGGAAATCACAACATTGATCAACATTGTTTTGGGAGAGCATGATGAACCAATAAATATGGGGAGATCGTTGGTTTCTAATTTTTCGCTAATCTTATCCCATAAAGATAGAGAGATGAAGGGCCAACCTGACGATAAGAGTTGACTCACCAACATTGAGCTGAGCAAACATTTAGGTAAGTCTTGCATGGGTGGTTTCACGGCGATAACCTCGGATTTATTGGACGTAAGCGATCAAGAACCATATATAATTTATATATATGTGTATATATAGTAAGTTTCGCGAGCGAAAGGTTATCATAATTTTCTGATAGTGGGTACCTCGTATGCGTTTTGAGGTATGAATTTGCAAATATGGAATGATGTTTGCTTATTTTTTTTGAGTTGATACTTCAGAACGCATATTGGGCAATGAACATTTTAGATGGAAGTGTTTTTGCTTCAGCCCGGCCTTTGGAATTGGTAGCCTTTGAGGCTCTGCCTTCATGAAGAAACCAACTGTGTATAGGCAACTTGTTCAAAACAGCGAATCAAAGGAATCAAGACACTATGAGACATTGATAGACACCAGTGCCATAAGGCCACCATCAAAGGTTTGACATTCATTTGCTGATGCCATCCATGGACCATAAACAAAAGGATGATGATTGTTGCCAGTGTTGTTGCCAGAGTTTTATGATAATTGTTGGCAGTATCGTTGTCAGAATGATTCTCCTTGTTATAGTTATTGTTGGAGTGCTGTGAGATTTTTCTTATTGTTGGAGTAGTTGTTGGTGTCGGTGTTATATTTTCTGATTATTGTCAGAATGTTATGATAATTTCATAGTTTCTGATAATTTCTGATAGTGGTGAAGTGTTGTCAGAATTTTCTGATTGTTGTCAGATTTTTTCTGATTGTTGTCAGAATTTTCTGATTGTTGTCAGAATTTTCTGATTTTTGTCAGAATTTTCCGATTGTTGTCAGAATTTTCCGATTGTTGTCAGAATTTTCCGATTGATGTCAGAATTTTCCGATTGTTGTCAGAATTTTCCGATTGTTGTCAGAATTTTCTGATTGTTGTCAGAATTTTCCGATTGTTGATTGTTGTCAGAATTTTCGATTGTTGTCAGAATTTTCCGATTGTTGTCAGATTTTTCTGATTTTTGAAGTTGTTCATCGATTGTTTTGATTGTTGAAGTTGTTGTCAAGTGTGGTCAGAATTTCTGATTGTTGTCAGATTTTTCTGATTGTTGTCAGAATTTTCTGATTGTTGTCAGAATTTTCCGATTGTTGATTGTTGTCAGAATTTTTCGATTGTTGTCAGAATTTTCCGATTGTTGTCAGATTTTTCTGATTTTTGAAGTTGTTCATCGATTGTTTTGATTGTTGAAGTTGTTGTCAAGTGTTGTCAGAATTTCTGATTGTTGTCAGAATTTTCCGATTGTTGTCAGAATTTTCTGATTGTTGAAGTTGTTCATCGATTGTTTTGATTGTTGAAGTTGCTGTCAAGTGTTGTCAGAATTTTCTGATTGTTGTCAGATTTTTTCTGATTGTTGTCAGATTTTTTCTGATTGTTGTTAGAATTTTCCGATTGTTGTCAGAATTTGATAATTTTTGTCAGAATTTTCTGATTGTTGTCAGAATTTTCTGATTGTTGTCAGAATTTTCTGATTGTTGTCAGAATTTTCTGATTGTTGTCAGAATTTTCTGATTTTTGAAGTTGTTGATCGACTATTTTAATCGTTGTCAGAATGTTCCGATTGTTGTCAGAATTTTCCGTTTGTTGTCAAAATTTTCCGATTGTTGTCAGAATTTTCCGATTGTTGTCAGAATTTTCCGATTGTTGTCAGAATTTTCCGATTGGTGTCAGAATTTTCCGATTGTTGTGAGAATTTTCTGATTGTTGTCAGAATTTTCTGATTGCCAACATTTTGAAAAAGAACAAGTTGAGAAAATCCACAATCAGAAAATTCTGATTGTGGCTGGTTTTTTTTTGCCGCAGAAGCGTTTTCAAACATCAAAAGTAAGGACAAAAACGCATATTTTTTAAAAAAAAATGCAAAAAACGCTTCTGAGGCAAAAAAAACCAGCCACAATCAGAATTTCTCAACCTCTTTGAAAATTCTGAACAATGTTGCCAACAATCGGAAAATTCTGACAACAATCGGAAAATTCTGACAACAATCGGAAAATTCTGACAACAATCGGAAAATTCTGACAACAATCGGAAAATTCTGACAACAATCGGAAAATTCTGACAACAATCAGAAAAATCTGACAACAATCAGAAAATTCTGACAACAATCGGAAAATTCTGACAACAATCGGAAAATTCTGACAACACTTGACAACAACTTCAACAATCAAAACAGTCGATGAACAACTTCAACAATCAGAAAATTCTGACAACAATCGGAAAATTCTGACAACAATCGGAAAATTCTGACAACAATCGGAAAATTCTGACATCAATCGGAAAATTCTGACAACAATCGGAAAATTCTGACAACAATCGGAAAATTCTGACAACGACCATTAATAGTCGATCAACAACTTTAACAATCAGAAAATTCTGACAACAATCAGAAAATTCTGACAAAAATTATCAAATTCTGACAACAATCGGAAAATTCTGACAACAATCAGAAAATTCTAACAACAATCAGAAAATTCTGACAACAATCAGAAAATTCTGACAACAATCAGAAAATTCTGAGAACACTTGACAACAACTTCAACAATCAAAACAATCGATGAACAGCTTCTTCAATCAGAAAATTCTGACAACAATCGGAAAATTCTGACAACAATCAGAAAATTCTGACAACAATCAGAAAATTCTGACAACACTTGACAACAACTTCAACAATCAAAACAATCAATGAACAACTTCAACAATCAGAAAATTCTGACAACAATCGGAAAATTCTGACAACAACCAGAAAATTCTGACAACAATCAGAAAATCCTGACAACAATCAGAAAATTCTGAGAACACTTGACAACAACTTCAACAATCAAAACAATCGATGAACAACTTCAACAATCAGAAAATTCTGACAACAATCAGAAAATTCTGACTGACAACAATCAGAAAATTCTGAGAACACTTGACAACAACTTCAACAATCAAAACAATCGATGAACAACTTCAACAATCAGACATTTCTGACAACAATCAGAAAATTCTGACAACAATTAGAAAAATCTGATAACAATCAGAAAATTCTGACAACAACCGGATACCTATATGACATCCTCTATGACAACAATCAGAAAATCCTGACAACAATCAACAATCAAAAAAACTGTCAGCAGTTATCAGAAGATTCTGACAACAATATACAATTATCAAAAAACCTAGACAAGTTCCCAGAATGTGTCAACACATCCTCAACATCTACCCTAAAACCTAAACCCTAAACCCTAAAAGTTTATGATCCAGATCATCATCCAGACAAATCCAGACAAGATTCAAACATTGAGTCTCATGAATATAATGACGATAATGTACTATATGATACTCAATCACCAAGTTGGGAATAGCAGGCTGGATGACACACCCAAACAAAGGACCCTCACGAAACTTACTATGTATATAATGTATATATATATATATATGCAAGCAAGACAAAATTGATGACTCACCGGCCGGGAAAACGGGACACATGCCTTTCTCAGCAATACAGTTGATACCTGGTCTTTGCCAAGTGCTCAGCCACGGGGGAGGGAAAAAGGTTATCCAACGTGGAAATATGATGCAAAAAATGGTGGATGCCTATGATCAACTAACAAATATGGGGACGTTGTGACTACACAAGTGACCAGCTAATTGAGACATGTCTCCCTCCCAAATCTGACTTCCAAGAGTTCAAGAGCTAGATCCCCTACAGACCATTAATTTACATCAATTTATCGATTCAACCGTTTTTGGTTAAAACACGGTTGCCCCAACCCTCTGGTAATTTAACATGCCTATGCAAAAAAGACCAGTATATGACACTGATTTACCTGTTATTGCTATGGCAAGTTTTCATGCCTATGTTAAATTATCAGAAGGTAAACTTTCATGCTACTTCAGAAACTTCAAGATCTAGATATACACCGAGGTCATACCAATTTCATCTTGTTCTGCTTGGGTTGAACTATATGTAAAGATATACAGTATATGACTATATATGTGTATTCTGCAGAGAGAATAAAGAATGATTTGCATATATGTATATATGTATGCTTGAATGTTTCCCTTCAGCTATCTCTAGTAAGACACAAGACACTATATTCCCCTATGCTTTCCACATTTATCCCTCAACATATATTGACATATACGTATGTACATAAATATATCACATGCAATATTATAAGATATATTACCTTTGAACATTACCTATGATTCCCTATGATTATCCATATGTATATATATATAAGATTATAGATCATGCATTATAGATTATAGATGATAGATTATGCATAAATGATTATCTCTATCCATATAAGATCCTTCCCAGCCAGGAGCCCAGCGGCCGGCACCGTGACGTACCTCTTCCAGCGCTTGGCCGAGACCAGCGGCGCGGTGCAGACCTCCGCGGTGCTGCTGCTGGCGCGAAGCTGGGCCTCGGAGTCGCAGCTCTTTCGCTGCTTCGAGGTGGAAGGGGCTATGGGGGGAGGATGGGTGTGGATATATATTTATATATAATGTATATATTTAATATACAGTCTATATATATGTATGTTGTACATGTATACATATATAATTATATATGTATATATATATATTAGATAATAAGTGGTTAATATGTTAATCATGCATGAATTGTAGGAGTTAGAATTATGTATGATGTTTGAATGGTTAAGGATCCATATATTTTGCATATGGTTAGAATAATGCTTATAAACATGATTACTGGTTATCACAGCATGTAGTGACTGGGAAGCACATCCAAGTCGGGAAAGCAGATAGGGAATCAGAATGAAATGATATTTGGTCAATTTGGTCAGGTGTTGAAAGGGATATGTTGAGTAAGGGTGCACAGGACAGTTTGTTTTAATCTGAGGGATGCCATTTGACCCTGTGAAATGCCAACACAAAGGTGGCCCAGGTCAAGGCAACCTTGGATTCCTAGGCCTGGTATCTTTAGGCAAAGGGGGTAAAAATGCTCTTCTGGGGGCAAGGCAAATGCACCCCTGACCTGGGTTCACCCCTTATTCTTTTTGCGGGCATGGGAACCTTTCTTACTATTTCAGGCAGATTTGCTTGCTGGGTCCCGGTGCAGAAACCTACTTACCATCTGGTAATTTAACATAATTTAGCATAGCTATGGGCCGTTGTTGATAGGTAAATCAGTTTTTTCTATAGGCCATTTTTCAGAGTTATATTAGATTACCAGAGGCCAACAAGAATCCGTGATCCATGACCCAAAATAACCACCTGCCCCCACCGTTTCTGGCCGGTGGTCCAGGCCTTTCCGGTCTTGCCATGGATCTTCCGAATTCCTGCGGCCAACGCTGTGCGCGCCATGATCGCTGACACCGGACGAACGGGCAATGTGGTACCCATCGTAGCAGAAATTGCGTTGCGCTTGTGCAGAGGGTCACTGGGTAGCAGTGGAAGTCAGGAAGTGGCAGGGGAATTGGGTTGTGTTTTCCTGCAATCATGTGCAATCTACAGAATACAGAATCCGCAAAATAATTGATATAATTGATCAACATCTCCTAGCAATGCTCAAGTCGTTTTTGGCTTAGCAACATATCGAACCTCCCGCCCCCTGCTCGGTGGTCCCCAAGCGACGCTCTCATTTACGGCACTGAGTCACTTCCCACACCGTTTCCATACTACAACTTAGCGGATGGGTTTGGCAACCCCTCGTCCCATGCCCCCATCATCCATTAGTGCTGGTATATTCACCCATTCACGTAACACGTAAATAACTATATTTCTATCAATGCATGCATACATACATACATACGTACATACCATACCATTCCATTCCATTCCATTCCATACCGTACCGTACCGTACCGTACACACCGTACATACCGTACATACCGTACATACATTACATACATTACATACATTGCATACACTACATACATTACATACATTACATACATTACATACATTACATACATTACACACATTACATACATTACATACATTACATACATTACATACACTACATACACTACATACATTACATACATTACATGCATTACATACATTACATACATTACATGCATAAACATACATACATACATTACATACATAAACATACATAAACATACATAAACATACATAACATACATATGATACATAACATACATAACATACATAACATACATAACATAACATAACGTAACATAACAAAACATAACAAAACATAACAAAACATAAGGAAACATAACATAAAAAAACATTACATACCATTACATGACATAACATAACATAACACAGCATACATACATACATACATACATACATACATACATACATGAATACATACATACATACATACATACATACATACATACATTCATGCATACATACATACATACATACATACATACATGAATACATACATACATACATACATACATACATACATACATACATACATACATACATTCATGAACATACATACATACATACATGAACATACATGAGCATACATGAGCATACATGAGCATACATGAGCATACATGAGCATACATGAGCATACATGAGCATACATGAGCATACATGAGCATACATGAGCATACATGAGCATACATGAGCATACATGAGCATACATGAGCATACATGAGCATACAGAATCACACAGAATCATACAGAATCATACAGAATCATTCGCAGTTATACGCAATCATACGCAATCATACACAATCATGCACAATCATACATAACCATACATAACCATACATAACCATACATAACCATACATAACCAATCATAACCATACATAAACATACATAATCATACATAATCAAACATAACCATACATAATCATACATAACCATACATAATCATACATAATCATACATAATCACACATAATCATACATAATCATACAAAATCATACAATCACACAATCACACAGCCATACAATCATACAACCATACAAACATACAATCATACAATCATACATACATCCATACATGCATACATACATACAGACAGACATACGGACATACAGACATACACACATACATTACAGTTCGCATTACATTACATTACATTAAACTATATTACATTACTCACATACATACATATGATATCAACGAGTATGTATCGCATAATCATACGCCGACCGTTCAATGCAGTGAAAATGCCAACATCTGCCGCATTTTCGCCAGGTCCTTCCTGGAAACCGCACGCAAGGCACGGCGCCAGTTCCGCGACGTGAAGCGTCAGCTGCGCAAGCGCCAGCGCGAAGGTGAGGAAAGCGACAGCGAGGAAGAGGTGATGCCGGACAGACAGGCGCAGGAGCGGGAGCTGGGCCAAGGGGTTGGGGAAAATGGATCGAAAAATATGGAAAATGATGGGGTAACACCAATAATAAACCCATCCCCAATTATGGGATATTATCCCAAAAATAAAACCAATAACGATCTTCAATTGGTTGGATATTATTGGGTTATAATTACATGGTTATACCTCTATTTGGGAGGTAAACTGAGCCTCACATGGTGAATGGGATGATTTATGGCATTGGTTTAGGACTTTAGATGGAACACGTGAGGTATTTATGGATGTAAAGGGGGAACATGCTGGAGAACACAGCCCTCCTTAAGAATCAGAAACCATTCCCGAAACTTACCCTCTGGTAAACAAACATAGCTATTGAAAATGGCCATTTATAGTTGATTTACCCGGTGGTTTTCCATAGTTATGTTAGTTTACCAGAGGGGTATTAACATTTGTTGTGATCCCAATTCACATTACTCTTCATAGGATTCGGCACCTCCACCACTCCGTCAGGACGCCGCAGTCCAGCACGGTATCTCCATCCTCCGGCCCCACGTGGACGTTTTGCTCTCCAGTCTCACAGAGCTAGTGCAGCAACGCCTGCGACTGAAGGGGGCCAAGGGCAAGCGCGTTCACGTGGCCACCCCCACGGAGCTGTCCGTCATGGCAGAGGTGTCGGAGTGGTGTAGCGATCCGAAGGTGGCACAACAGCTGCTGCAACTGCTGGTGACGGTGCTGGCCAATAACAAGAAACTTAGAGATGTAATGGCTGGGATGGTGGGGAGAGCTCAGCACATTTTTTGGGGTTAACACATCAGTGAACAAAAACTAAGAGTGGGTAAGAGTCTGCAGGGATCCTTAGATTTTGCTGGCCATGCTGGGGGCCTAGATGCATCCAACACCCTCTAGGAGGTTCAGAAAAGAACCTTGTAGCGCGCAGGATGAGGTTCGCCAAAATATAGGAAAACGGAAGATCCAACAGAAGGGAAAGGAGGATGGCAGTCGACAAAAATTTGGATAGCCAGGAGGATAGTGAGGAACAAACATTGACACCTTCTCCTCATAAAATTCGTTGGTGGTCCAGTCTGTGGTGCATTTTCCATCCAGCAGTTTTCCATATGTTTCCTGTCACGGGACTGTTGCTAGCAGTGCGTACCAATGAAGCATTTTCGCTCCTTTGCCCAAGAAATACTGGTCCCGCGCTCAACTTTTTTTTTGGTGCTTCATTCGGAACCAAGTGTTGCTTGTTGCTAAACGCAACACATCCATGTTTGTTGTCTCTGAACGCGCCCATGTTTGTTGTTTGCGTGCAGTCTTGCGCAATTTTCTTGCAGGTCCATAACCTTCAATATCTATTTGTCCATCTACTTGCCCATCTACTTGTCCATCTACTTGTCTATCCCTCTATAGCCATTCTAGCAGCATTACCATCACATAATCCATGAAATATGTCACTGTCTCAACTTTCTCCCATCATGTCCCATAGTTTTCCATTTTCCGTGATTTTCCCATGTGTTTGCATCATTTTGCCCATATGTTTTCCATATTTGTACATATTTTATATGTATGATATATAGATATATATAATATTATATACATATATATGATATTGATATATATGATATTGATATATATATATATATGATATATATATGATATATATATATGATATATATATATATATGTATGATATATATATATATGATATATATATATGTCTGATATATATATATATATCATACATATATATATATCATATATATAAAAGATATATATAATATATATATATATATATGTGATATATATATATATATATGTATGTATGTATGATATATATATATATAAGATATATATATATATATAAGATATATATATGATATATATATGATATATATATATGTATGATATATGATATATGATATATGATATATGATATATATATATATATGTATGATATATATATGATATATGATATATGATATATATATATGTATGATATATATATATATATATGATATATATATATATGATATATATATATCACATATATATATAATATCAATCACCAACCTTCTACCCGGCCAGGAAAGGTATCTCTTCGGACAGCCAGCAGCTGGTGACCACCTGCATCCGACGCTTGGTCTTCGTGGCGCTGCCCGGGGCGCTGGCACCAGAGGGCGATGGTACCAGGAGGGGCCGAGGGGCCCGGTGTGGTCCCTGTTGGTTGATACACCAATGTTGGGTGTTTTTAAGACCTCCCAATGGGATAGTTGATGTTGGGTATATAAATGGGTATACAAAAACATCAAATATTTTCAAATATATATATATATATGTATTATGGGGATATATTGACTTACTTGTGCTTAGTAGGGAATGGATGGGAATGATCCACTGGCTAACTATCAGACTATCAACAATAATCCCAGCAACCCCTATTCCCATACATTCCCTGCTAAGCACCAGTAAGTTATACTAGCCAAGAAAAAGAAGCAAACATGTGAGGGATTATTGATGATCATTAATGGCGTAACTAGCAGCCTGCTCAACCAGGTATGATCCATTATGATGTGATTGGGGAATACCCTTGAAACTGTGATTGCGGATTACTAATGTGATTACCAATATATTACCCAATAAATTTTCCCAAACATGTGATTGGAGATTCTTGACAATAATTAAAGCAAATAATTATTATAGATATGACAGGCAATTTCTTCAGGTTTTTTAGTCCTACTGTTGGTTGATAGATGGTACAGTACCTCTTAGGGCCCTGACATTCGCATTGATGTTGGTTGATGATTAGTTCGGAGTTTATATACTACCCAAGAATGTATGATATGTATGGGATGATGATAATATATCATCCACTCTTAAAATGGAAAAGTTTTGGAAAATTCGTGATTTACAGATAGGTTTGATAGGGTTTGATTAAACAACATCTAGATGGTTTGCATCGCTTAGCCGACAAGTTGGAGCCTGCCAAGTTGGTCATCCCACCAGGCGGCGTCGCCAAAAAGGGTCAATTTTTTCGGGCCACGTGGTGGGAAACTTCCAGCACTTGTAGATGACCTGAAAATGGTGATTTAACCATAGCTAAATATAGCTACATATAGCTAAATATAGCTACCCTCTGCTTATTTCACATAGCCATGGAAACCATGGCCCATAGAAATAGTAAAAATGGGTGGATTTTCCAGTTAGCGAACTGTTAGTCATAACCAGATGGTAACTATCTTAGATGACCTAGCCGGGTCCCAACATCTCCAGCTGCGCCAGGAGCAAATCTCAGGCCACCTTCGTCTCTGATGCCGTGGCCAGGCTCTTGAGTCACGTGAAGGATGTGGCGGTGCGAGCGCAGGTGGAACCAGGGGAATGGCATCTTCAATTTGGCCATTTTTGGGTGGCGGTTTGAGACAATTTTCTGGAAAAATCTGGTGAAAAAGTAACAAATTGGTGAAGTGAAAAAGGGCAGATTCATAGAACTGAATTAATTATATAATCTTTCGCCAAGGATTTTTTTGTAGCCAAAACATGGATGAGGACCCTAAGAGTGGCAATGTGTGGGGATGGTTTGTTATCGGCACGGCACGGGAGGTTCATCAAAACATTTTGGGGGGCTTCAGCTTATAGCTCTTGCGGATGTGGCAAGCTATCCATGATATATAGTCAGATTTTCCCGATGTTTGGGGTCCCTGATTTGCTCTATACGTTCCATACGCTTAAAGGGTTTATGATTAGGTAAATGGGACTTTAATTGACGCATTCATAGGACAGCTTGAGATTCGATGGCAAAAAAACAGGATTTTCGGATTGGCCAAGCAAATTCATTGGGATTTGGTGGCTGACAGCCTAGCACGACATAGTTTCTTAATGCACGAAAAACATGCATTTGAAGCAACCAACTGCGCATGTGAACACCAACAAATCACATAGATTACAAAATCAAATCAGCCTCAGAAACGCGGTTTGGTCCACTCCAAGAATGTCATTTCAGTGCCAATTTCATCCAATTTCCGGATTCAACGGCTATGTTTTCAGAGTACTAGAGATGGACAGGTGGCAGACTTGTTGGTGGAAGTGGAAGCCATCAAAATTTACGACTTGGACAAAGACGCCCTGGAGGCGATTGTTGGGCCCTTGTTGGGCCCTTGTTGAATGGGTAGGCACATAGCTAGGCGATGCTAGGCGGCTGAAAAGGTTGCAAGGTGGTTTCTGAAGCCTCGTGAATCTATACACCTTCTTCACAGGCGCAAGTTTATTTTGCGTATACATGTGATGTGTTTGCGTGTGTTTGGATGTCTTCGTCTTGATGTTTTGGGTTTGCACATGTTTGCAATCGTTTGGTTTGGGCATCCATTGCTTCCATTTCGTTGTCCCAAAAAAAAGACTCCCACATCGCCCGTGAGATCCTGTTCCTATACTCCTGAGGCGTACCTGAAGGACTCTCATGACTGGCAGCCACCACCTGGTGAGAACTTCACTGCTTTACACGTGGCCCACTTGCTGAGTGGCCTCAACAAGCTGAAGCGGTCCGGTCTCCGCGAGCCTGATGTTGATTCCCATGTGGACATTCTCCAGGTGCTAGCCGACAGCTATTTGGTAAACCAGGTGATTCCAGCCAAGTTGCTGATACTCGACATGGGGATGGTGACATGTGGTAGTGGGCTGTGTTCTTGATGGTTTAACATGGTTTAACACTCTTTCCAATAGCATGGACTATAGGGACCAAAAAGATGGGGGCCAACGTTTTTTTTCCCCTCTGACGTTGTTTGCGTTTCTTTCCCTTTCTTGGAGGATCCCCTTGTTTACTGCGTGGCTTTCACTTGGCCGCTGGCGCCCAGGACCCCCTTGTTGCAGCACTGCCTGTTTCTCCTAAGCTGCGAAGGGGTGGATCTGGGGGTACAGCGGGGGTCGGAGCGAGTGCTGTGCTGTTTCGCAGATCGGCTGCATGCGCAAGTCGCGGAGGATTCTGCTGATCGTCGCTGGCCTCATCCCAGGGAGGTTTTTTCTCTGAAAGTTTGGTATACCTCTATATAAATCCATTGGTTCATGGTCATTTTCCCCATCTAAATGTATCAAAAGATGTTAATTAGACTAAACCACAATGGACATATTAAAATTGCCATTTGGGCTAGGGCTATGATTTACCTTATGTTTACCAATTGAATATGGTGACTTTCTATAGCTACATAAAATAACCACTGGTTAAGATTGAAACTGAGCAAAGTGTCGGAGATTTTGAGTTCTTCTACTTGAAATGAGGGAAAAAAAACACCTATCCAAGTCTCTCAGTGGCTACAACCGTATCCCATCTGGCTGATTGTTGCCACTGATTGAACCAGTTGAAGGATTGCAGCCATGACCAATCATGCCTCATGACGATCTGAGTCCTGTCCTTTCGACCAGTCGCTCTGTTTCCATCAAATTGGTCTAGCTGGAATTTCCATGAAACAGCAATCCCACATATTTACCTCTCCCAACAAACCCCGTATGGTTTTGCCATCATCATGATCCATCTATATCTTCAAGCAGCAAATCGCTGCACATCTCCTGAGGTCAGGAGCTGCTACACCAAACCTTCACCATCACCATCCAGGCGCTTCGTCGCATGCTGAAGGCCCCCACAGAGGAGGTCTTCCGCACCGCCTTGCGGGTGCTGGCGCACTACGTGCGCTTGTTGGGGCCGCATTGCGAGAGCTGGAAGCTCTTGCCTCGAAAAGATGGTTTAATAGGACGTATATGGACATATGATGACATATGAATTCAAAACAAAGTTGGACATCGAAATTTGAAGCTGAATGGGTTTTGATGATCAATATAAGATAATATATAAGTTGGTTATGATATGATTATATTCATGTTTATTTGTTGTATCCCCATTATATGCCTACCGTGGTTGGTTTTAGGGCCACCATTATCCCTATCAAACTGTTACATTCATATGGATTCAACCAGCCAAACCATGGTTGTTATGGCCTGGGTAGAACTGTTCCAATAGCGGCTCCAGTGGCTCACCGCACCAGACATGATGGTTTGGTTTTGGGGAATCATTGGAATCATTCCAAAAATGATCCAAAATGAAAGCCGTTTTGTTGCAACTGCATCTTTTGCGTAAACAACCTCGTTTTCAATTTAAGGATCGTTCTAATATTAGTAGCGTCGAGTCATGTCGAGTCAACATCCTCCAATTCTAGATGGCTATCAAGCCCCCCATGAATATTGAGGAAGGAATGCCCAGTGCCCAGCAATGGGGCAAAGCCAAAAGGAGGATCCCAAATATCCCCACCGCAGATCGCCGCAGATCCTGCTATTGCACATGATCTCATCTACCCTAAAGCCGCACAAATCCACGATGATTCTCCAGTTTCCACTATTTTTCGCCATTCTTTCAGATGAATTCTAGATATTTCCAGCTCAGCATTGATGATGCCCCAGCTCCATGGCCATGGCCCATGTACCATGGCATACCATGGCCGGTTCAGGAAGTTGGCCGCCAAAGGAAGAAACGCCGCGGCAGTCTTTGGATCCTCCCCGGAAGCGCTGCTGCACCAGGATTTGTTGCCCCTACTGGCTTCGGTGAAGGGGGATGAGGGAGGTCGGGCAGGGGGAACTGTTTTTCTTGGTGGTTGAGGACTTGAGGACGCAAAGAACCATAAAGAACCAATAGGAAAACAAGGAAGTAACGAGTCTAGAGCTGAAGCTAAAGAGCCGGTGTTTTTGGAGTGGTGTTCTTTTTCCGTGGTCTTTGCACCAATAAGAATCTGTGATCACACATATTACATTAGTACATGATCTAATGATCATCCATGCCATCGTGCCCATGTGACTCGGGACATGGCATCCTCCACGGGAATGTTTCCCCAAGCCTTGGAATCTTTCAATCGGAGCAACCTCCAGTCATAGAAATGGACACCCAATAAATCATGAGCATCATCGAAGTACCTAGAAATCTCTGGGTGTTTTTTTTTCTCCCTTTGAGGGACCCCTTTGAGGGACCGCCACAGAAACCTCGTCGCGAAGGCGATTTGTTTGCCAATCTGCTTCACCTCCAAAAGCATCGCAGGGGCCGTGGACTCTTAGCCCTCAGCAGGCAGGATCTGGTGATGACAGGGAGCCAAAAAAGGAAACACCAAGAGGCATTGTGAACTCTTTGGGATCTGAAATCATGGCAGTTCAGTGCTGCCATGTATGGAATTTGTCCAAATCTCCAGGTTGGCGGAATCCGGATCTTTGACCTCCACGACCCTGACGCACTTCGTGTTGCCGCTGGCGTTGCAAGCGATCCTTCAATACGGAGCCTCTGCCGCTGCCTTTGATCCCAACTATGCCGAAACTGGGGTGAAATGCCTTGGCGAATGCATGCGGGGAGTCTCCTGGTCCACCTGCTTGCAAACAGTGCGGCAGATGGCCTTCCTTCTCTCCAAGTATGACAATCGTGACTGGTTGGCACCAGAAAGGTTTTGGCATGGTTGATATGTTCCATCCTACCTTGGAGATCCTTGGATGGCCCCCAACTGACAAACAAAAAATGGGACTGTTGAACCCCATCCAGGTGAACGTTGGATCGTGCGCGGCGCCTGTGAATGCCTCCAGCGCTTTCCCTTGCCGCCCCAGGAGCTCCCGAGCCCGGAGCTGCTGGAAGGTTTCGGGGGAATGAAGCTACCTGAGGTCTTGGATGCCTTTCCAGAGAAGAGCCGCAAGGGAAAGGGGCGGAAAGGAAAGGGCAAAGGAAAGGGGAAGGGAAAAGGACGGAGCAAAGGGAAGGGCAAAGGAAAAGGCCGCAAGTGGAAGGGAAAGGGTAAAAGAGCCAGAAGCGAAGGGCGAGACAACTTTGAAAAGGAGGCGGCAGATTTAGACTCCGAGGCCGAAGACAAAGCAGATGAGAAAGAGGAAAAGGAAGACAAAGAGGAGCCTCGCTCACGTATTGGGAAGATTGCTGCGGAATCCAACTTGCTGCCCTATGAACCCTGCGCATTTTCATGCCTAATGGCATCACTGGGAACGGTTGAATGAATCAAGCCCGCAAGTAATGTTGACCCAACTTAGATTATCATTCCACTTAGTGCAGCATTGGCAGTTCTTTTGCGTGTGTTTGGTAGGTCCATCAAGGTTGTTCCCAAACAGACAGTGGGATTGGGTCAAAATATTTTATTATGATCATATTTGGGGGAATAGCCATCCATTAGCCAGCTTTATAAGCAGTTATTTTAGCCATTTTTAGGCTACCTCAGGTCCTAGGGTTTTGATCCATAGCCATGTTTTCCAAACCCCATGATTCCCTGTGGCTTCCGCCCCAGGACAAGGTGGAGCCCATAGACCTTGAAGAGCCGGAGCCGGAGGAGGAAAACAACGAGCCTCCCATGGAGAGCGTGCCGGAAACGGCCAACAGTGTGGTGAAATCGCTGCGCAGCACAGTGCTTCCCATCTTGCGACACTTGGGCGACCATGACTACCGTAAGATGTTGTAAGAGTTCTTGGCAAAGCAGTGACAGCTACGGGTGTTGTATGAAGTTTTATGTAAGCAGACTGTTTGGTGTTTTTTTTCCTCAGTTTTAATTCAATGGAAATAGGATGCAACTTTGTGTCACTTGAATAAATGACCTTGATGTGCCCAGAAGAGGTCACTGCACACACTGGTCGCTAGTCACTAGGCAATTGAGGGAGTGTTCACCACTTCGAAGGACCCCTCCCGTTCCAGGAAAGATGTGGCAAGACAAGGGGAGCAGCAAGTCTGGCAAGGGCGCCGAAGGAAAGGGAAGCACACAGAAATCCACGGTTCGAATTGCTGTGATCAGTATCTGGGCTGATGGTTTCAAGATGTTTCAAGACATGTGTCTAGTTTGAAATCTCTGTGGTTTTTCTTCCTCAATCAGCAATATCAATAGCAATCAGCCCATGGATCCAAATGGTCAAATGGCCGATTGGAGAACGCCCAAAAAACGCATGGATTTTCCAAGGCTCAGCTTGCACCGAGGTGTAATGATGCACTGCTTGAAACATCTCCCCGCAGACGATTTTGCATCGGAGCTCCCACGGATTCTGGGCGCCTCTGTCGATGTTTATAGCTCTTGGAAACCCAGCTTTGCACACATGATACGGATGGGTTCCCCCAAAAATGATAGGTTCCCACTGGGGTGGCGGACATCCCAGTTTCTTTTTTTTTGGGGGGTCTTTGGGAACAGCATGGCTTGTCTGTGGCTTCCAGATCAGGCATAGGACAATTAGTATAACTAATGAAACTAATGACAATTGCATCAATTCCACAGGTTGACATGATTGGATAATGTATGAATCATCATCATTAATATCATCATACAATGTCATGATTGATTTCACTGATAATTACCCAATTCACCGATTAATTAATGAAATCATCATTGTTGCCATTGGGGTGATTCCAACTTACTTGGGTTCAAGTTGGCTCATACCGACGCATACCGGCTGGGCATATGAAACAACACGAAACACCATAAAACATCGAAACAAGATGAAACAACATGAAACAACATATTCCATGAGTTATCAGTAACTAGTTGTTTGGCGTAATGACTTGGATATGCATCAGTACATGGATAGCTACATTTCAGACGCAGGGATTCCAGCTGTATTTCGCTGTGCTGAGTATTTAGAAAAACGGCGGCAATTCGAAGAGCGCTCCAATGATTCTTGAAGAGATTTGAAGCGTTAATCCATGGAACCCACCACCTTGAACAAAAAAAACATGAATAAATCAAAATAAATCATAAGATCCTCTTCAAATGGCCGATTTTCAGGGCAGTTTCAGGCCATCATCAGATTCTGGGATCCCTTTCGGCGAATCACAGCCCCCGTGAACGGCGAAGCGGCGCAGGTTATGTGGTGGTTGGCCTGAAGGATCGCGATTCCGAAAGCCGCCGTGCCTCCAGGTATGGCCCCAATGCTAGAAGAACGAGCTAGGAACAGCCCTGTTGATGATGTGATGTTCCAAATGTATCCAAAATTATCCAAATATCTTCTGCGGGTCATATGAAGACCTGAGGTGAATTGTAGACTAAGTTGTTGATGTAGAACATATATTTCTTGAACACTGAAAGTTGGACAATGTGGGACATTGGACATGTTCATGCTATCACATGTGTTTCGTAGATATATGATATATTTCGTATATTTATTATTATTGAGTCAATTTGATTCACAACGGATGGAGGCCTCCTAGATGTCCTCATGATCCCCCAGGCAGGCGCTGCAAAGCGTCAGCCTCTCCCTGGGCCCCGCCTGGTTGCCGTGGATCATCCGCGAGCTGCGCAGCCGCCTGAACCGGGGCTTCATGGTCCCCGTGCGCGGCGCCGCCGTGCTGTCAGCCTTACAGGCCTTGACCGGCGACAACAGCTTGAAGAGTGGCGTGGTGAGAGGGTTGGAGTGCGGAAGGGGTGACACTGGATGGAAGCCTAAGAATCGGAAAGCATGTTTAACACCATGTTTAACATATCAGTGTTTGTCAATTTTGATGGGTCAAAACCTGCCAAAAACAGGTTCAGGGCCGTCCGGGTTGGAAGCCCCAAGGTCGCATGGTCAAACCCAAAAACACGCAACTGACAGACTGAATCTGTTGGACCCCTTTTGTCCCCTTTGCTTGCCGCGGCCGTGTATACATGTCAAATGTTCATTTTTTCCCCAAAAATCATCACAGCTGGCTTTGCATGTGTACATCTCTGGCTCTCCATATGATCCCACTAATTATATCATATTATATCCCACTTGTCACTTTCTTTTAAAGATTCCCCATGATTCCAAGATTTCTTTCCCACTATATTTCCCACTATATTTCCCACTTTTCTAAGCTTCTCCCATTTGTTTCCCACATTTTTTGCCACCAAAAAACCTGCAGCGAAACATGCCGAAATCTGAGGTGGTGATTTGGACTCCTCCCTCCAGGAGCTCTTGACGGAATCCATGGAGGAGTTGGAGCGGCAGATGGCCTCCAAGGAGGCCGAGACAGGCCTAGACGGTGGGGAGGACGGGGATGGAAGCGGTGGGATCTGTCATCACTTAAATACTTACCCTCTGGTAAATAAACATAGACCCTGAAAATCACAATTTTTTAGAGGAAACTAATCTTCCAACCCCTATCTACCAGGGTCTATGTTAATTTACCAGAGGGTAAGGAAAATGAGTACATAGAATTCACCAGATCTAAAATGATCTAAATCTAACGGGATAGTCGGATAGTATTTGATTCGCAGGGTATGAAATATCGTCATCACGTACGTAATTGCCAACCAGATCGTGTGAGATCCAGTTAGTAGGTAGATTCGCTTAGGGAAGAGGCAAGTGACAATAGACCATGATCATTACATTCTGATTCACATCTTTTGCAAGGAACATCAATGAACAAAGGCGATGTTCATTGATTTTCATTGATAGCAACCACCAAAGATAGAACCATCATGTTATTTAATTTTTCCACTATTTCAGTAGATTTTACCACTATTTCAGTAGGATTCTTGTTCCCCAAAAATCAGGACCTGTGCAGCATGGTGATTCATCACCAGGTGAGGATACCTCGATGTTGCGGCCGGGCCAAGTTCCAGAAGCTAAGAAGCCCAAGGCCCGCGGGCGGAGATTTCCGTGTTTCATGGCAGCAAAATTCTCTGTACGGCGGTGGAAAATTGGATTTGCGACACTGCGAGGGTCATTGATTTTGCCCATGTCTTGTATTCCGGCCCTCTTTTTTCTTTGGCGGGCAGCCAGTTCCTTTACAGAGTTTTCCAAGTTTTTGAACAGGCACCCACAGCCCAAACAAGACCATGATGGATGTGGGGGATGAAACCAGACATGAAACTACATACATTTGGAAGCATAGAATGATGAATGGGGCTGCTTAATATGAGTACGGTGGGATTATATTTGGCTAATAAACTATTTCTGTATATCAATTGCAACTTGCTTGTTGCTGATTATCTAGGATTAGAATGGATTAGACGTTTGTAGGCATTTGTGTTTTGTGTCGGTTCAGCGCTCGCAAAAGCACGAAAAAACAGAAAATCATGCTTAATTACTCATCTCATAATCATGGTGGTATGGATGAGCATGAGTAGATCCAGTAAAACATGTCATCACGCGTTACCGGGCATGTCCTCGCCGGTGACCTGCCGGTGACAGGGTCCAGATTTCATGCTGTTGGCCGGGCAGTTCGCAACGGCGCCAAAAGTCTTGGAACTGATCTGGGCCTTGGATCGGAAACTCACCGGTGAAAGCCTCCAAGCGGATCAAAGCGATATGCTGCCGAGGGGCAACTGGGCTGCTAGGGTTACTGTAACGGTTACTGCTGGTAGAGGGAATGGAACACTTTACCAATGGTACCAGAAAAACTGGAGATTGAATTTTTGAACTGGAAATTCAGGCTTGTAAATCATCAACACACAGGAACAGGAAATGAATTGGCAAGCTGCTAGCTTTTTCTCAGGGCCCTGCGATTAAAACAATCCCGTGCGGAGCATTGTTTAGCTGCAACATCAACGCAATATAACGCAATATCTATCTATATATATATACACTGTATATATAACTCTCTATATAATTATATATATATGTACAGTATATATGTATGTCATGTATGTGTGTGTACAACGTACTCGGCTCGTACTACTGGACCACGCTGTGTGACAGGATGAGGAAGGATGATCTGCCAGGTATGGTCTTCTTGCGCAAGGTTGAAGAGTTGATGACCCGCGCATTGTCAGGGCTGTGTCTGAACTCCAGTTTCGGATTTCCTGAACAGGTGGGGACGGTGGGGACTGGGCAATCACTCAACCACCACAAGCGAAATTTTGTCATTTTCTACCTCAGAAACTCAAAACATTCCAGAGTTTAGAGGTAGGCGTTGCATTTCCATCCAGGTTTGAAGTTCTTGGAATTTTCAGGGATAGTTGCTGGCAGCTAGGTTCATCACGATATCTATATATATACCTGAATAGCTTCAATCCCTCGTCTTAGATGCAATGTTCCACTGGAAACTATGACGTTTGTGACGTTTGTGACGTCTGTGACGTCTGAGTCCTGCAGGTGTCGGCCTGTTCTGAGCTCTTGAAGGTGGTGCAAGATCTACTTTCGGGCAAACATCAGAAGCGCAGTTCCGGCAAAGAGGTTCCGGCTTTGAAACTGGGATGGGAGGATGTGCCACACCAACATGTGAACGTCTTTTTGGAGCATAAGCTGGTCACCAGCAAGACAAGGTGGTGCCCCTTAGGTATCTAAGGTGCTTTATCCTTATTTCTAAGCTTTGGTATACTTGCACTCAAAAACCTGGCCTCCTCATCAGCACTAGCTGCCCGCAAAGCAACCCTATACCCCCGCGTGAATGCTAGCAAGTCAATTTAGATAGTGATCCCGACAAAGTCACATTACAGAAACTACTTCAAGAATAAACCTCCAGTACGATAATTGAGCTTGAGTACGCATGTTGGCCCAGAGTGCGCGGCACGGGTTTCGAATTTTATCTAAGTTAGCTACAATAGTTACAATAGTTTATAGCATTTTATAGCAGATACAGTATATCAGTATATCAGCATACAATATATATATATATATACATATCAAATTATCTATCAAGCCTATAGTTCATGGGTAGAGCAATCAACGAACACTGGACCACCTTCAAGCGGAACGACAACTGGACTCCCAGGTGCCCGCGGCCAAGGGACTGGCGGTGGCCAAACATCGCCTGCAGGCGTTCCAGGTTCAGGAAGGGGCGGCCACGGGTCGTTCCGGAAGGGCCAGCGGACGCCAAGGTGCCGGGATGATGGGAGGATGGGATGATGGGATAGTTGGGGATGGAAGGCTAGTTTCTCATACCCTCTGGTAAACTAACATAGCTATGGAAAATCACCATTTTTAATGGGAAAATCAACTATAAATGGCCATTTTCAATAGCTATGTTAAATTACCAGAGGGTACTTCCTCAGCAATGACTGTACAGGTGTTTCCGGTTGGGAATTAGGACGCATTAGGTTGGTAATTTGGGCCAATTTCGCAGCTAATTATATATATATATCCTATTTCGGGGGTGTCCAATGGTCACCCACCCTCGTGCTGATGTTGCTTGACGGGAGCCCAGGTGTGGATGATTCGGCCCGCGCAGGGGCCCTTGGCGTTCTGGGCCTGCGGCTGCTGCGGCATACCTTGCAAGGGAGCAAGAAGCAGGACGGTGATGGTGGTGGTGGCAATGCCTTGGAGGAGGTTGGGGGCCATCAGGAATCCTCAGAAACGGTGCCATGATGGCTATTTCTCTGCATGTTTTTCAGGTGGTTCCAGCAGTGGTGACCTGCTTCTCTTCGCGTCAAGATCGACTATTTGTGGCCTCGGCGAAGTGTTTAGGCCTGCTGCGCGGCTACTTCGACAGCCGGCCGGAAGTATTGGGCCAATATGGCGCAACTGGGCCGAAGCGGTTGATACGGGCCTTGTTGGGCTGTGTGATGCTAGGAGCAACCTTGGTCAACGTGTCAGTGTTGTTCATGTGAGTCATTGTCACATTTATGGGAATGACTACATGTTTGAAATTTATTGAAATTTGCTGGAAGTCCTTTCTTTGTTGCCTTTTCCCACTGCACTCGGGAGGAGCAGGGGCTGAGTGACTATGGTGCACAAGCTACGCAAGTTACGCAAGCTAAGTATCTTTCCCAGGATCAAGTTCTGTCACCGTCCGCAACTCCAGTAGAACGAGTAGAAGCCCTCAGCAAAAGCATGCCATCCATATTTCCATCATGACTCTGTGATTTTTTTAATGACTTACAAAACTCCCGGCGAAATCAATATCAGATGATATTAGATGATAATTATTAGTGTGTGTTTCCTGCATTTCAAACTTCTAGTTCCTCACTTGATGATTTGAGGCCTCCACCGGGGGTCACTTTTATAGCCATCATCTGACGGGCAGCCAAGCACAGCAACCACCCCAGAATTGCTTTTGGAACTTTTTGCAAGACACCCCAAGCAATTTGAGGCTAAAAAACCAGCGGTAAAAACATATGATCAACATAACAATGAAATGGCATCACGAGTATATCTGATAAAAATAACAAACAATAGTAGTAGTGGTAAAACCCCATGGTTTCCGAAGATGTTCCCAAGAAAAGTAATCCTTTGAAACCAGGCCAGCATCGCTCACACCGTTCTGAAGACCTTCGAGATCACAGCGAGCGCCCCCAGGCTGTCGCAACACTTGAGGGCCAAGGCCAAGACGCATGGCGTCTCGGCGCTGTGCCAATCCCTCGGCATCTGCCATGATAACTGCCATTGATACCGAGTTTTTCATGTCACTGAATGAACTTGGCAGCATTTACACTTAGAGGTATCACAACCCTGCTTCAGGAGATTGGAACTCCGTTTGCAAATACTATGACACATAATTACTATTACTTTTGCTTCGCCAACGAAATTGGTGGGCGCTATCATATTACACCCATTGAATTGGTAGATCAGGTAGATCATCAATACCTGGTTAAGCACTGGCTTGTGTATTATCACATACATCCTAACTTCATTCAATTGATAGAGTAGCTGGTAGCGCTACTTGGATGCACATCCCAGTTGGTTGTGGTGAAGGGCCCCAACCGTGCACCCAGTCGAACCCATTCGTGTGCATGTGGAGCAATTCTCCGTCGTACATTAACATGGTTATTGACCACTCCCCAACCCTCCTAACCCATAAACCCATGAAACACCACTTCCAAAGTCCTAAGCTTTCTAAGTTGTCTAAGTTGACAAAATCAAGTTCCAACTATATAATCCCTGCAATGTTGCATCAATTTGGGATATACCACGGTATACCCAATTTTTGAGCAGAACCGGTTTTCTCACTACCCATCCCAACAATGACCCCACCCAAAATGATGAACCACCCCAAGATGATTATCAACCTCGTACTATTCCACAGAAACCATTCAGACCATTCAAGAATCAGCTACATCACGAGGTAGAATCCCAAGAATCCCCACCCCAAGCCATAAAGGTTCCCAACAAATCCAGCCATCCCCTTGGGACCCCTTGGGACTCCCCTTGGAACCCCTTCATCCCCAAGGTCTTGCGGGGGTGGGTGCCGAAGCCATGTTAGCCACCAGCACCCGTCTGCTGGCGGCGCTGCTGAACCATCGCACCTCTGCGGAGTGGTTCCGCGCCTTTGGGGACGAAGAGGCGGCGCCGCAGCAGCTGAAGGTCGTGAAGGAGGAGACGCTTGGAGCATTGGAGCTGGGGGAAACGGCCTGGGGTTGAAAACTAGGGTACCCTCTGGTAAACTAACATAGCTATGGAAAATCACCATTTTCAATGGGATAATCCACTATAAATGCCCATTTTCAATAGCTATGTTAGTTTACCAGAGGGTAAACTGGTAAACCTTTCAATTTTTTCAATGGTGAAGTGTCGACTGCCAGGCTTGATTAAGAGAGGATGCCTCCGGAAATCCAACAGATGCTAAGAGATTTTAATAGATGCTCATGATTTTCTAGTTTTGAAGTAGCATGTTCAGACACCCAAATGGGATGAGGTACCAAGAAAAGACAGGAAAAGGATGAACCTGAGAACATGACGGAAAGATGAACTCGAAATAATATGGCTTTGTGAGGGGGGTGAATTAAACATGTTGCAGAATGAGTAGCGTATGGGAAAGGTTGAACATTTGTTGAGTTCAACTGCAGAAATGGGGCATGTAGTGGGGCAAGTAATGCGGCATGCAATGATTTGGGGTTGGGGTGATGAAACTATCAATCAACATGGAGATGGTGATCAAAGTTGAGCAATGAGTGCAGAAAGAAAGGAACTGTACTTACAAGGTGGATCAGTCTTCTGATCACTGGATCACTGGATGGCTGCTTGTTTTATCTTGTTTTGGGTGCATTTCGTGCGGAAAAATCGCCGCATCTTTGGCATGAAAGCGGGAAGCCTCTTGTTCTTTGACTCGCTTGACTGTACTGTACTTGGTTTGTTCGTTCGTTGGTTTTTTTTTCATGATTTGGTATGATCACCCAACCCCGAATCATTTTGTCTGGAGAGGTTGAAATCACCTATACATCTTTTCACCAAACTACCGTACCCAGTTGGGTTACCCTTGGAATCCACAGAAACTCCCTCCGCCTGAGGAAAGAGAAAGAAGTGAAGGGCCGCTCCAAGGCAAAGAAGGAAGAGTTGCGACAGGTGCGCTTATCCTCGCGGCGAGTTTGACGAAGATTAAGACAGGCATAGGCATCTTCTCCAGTGACTCAATAAGATCAGTCTGGCAAAGCCAATGCTATAAATGATCCTGTTACTGCAACCAACATTAACAAACCATTGACCAGATCGCATGGGAAACAAACTCCCGGGATTCCCTCATTTTGGCGCTGACAAAGGGTGTACACCAAGTGTAATATGTTAGAGTCAACCGATTTCCCGGAATGGTTTGATCGCCACATGGGCAGCTACTTCAGCCCGTCATTCAATATGCATGTGTACTATACAACACCCACATGGACAGACACGTATAATTATATAATTATATAATTGTATAACTATATTATATATATACAGTATATTAATTATTTATATGTATGGATATCATAGTACACTATATAGGTATCATATCCTATCCTATCCTATCATATCACATCCATACATATATATGTGTGTATAGATGCATGTATGTGCACAGTATTATGGATCTTCTTCCATGTTTGTCTTTTCTCAGGCCCTGCAGAAGAGCACCGTCTTCGATGCCTTGGTGGGGCACATCCAAAATGCCTTGGACACGCCGTCGTTGCAGGCCGCGGCGCTGCAGCTCTTGAGGCGAGTGCTGCTGCGGAACCAGGTGTTGACGGCGGCGGTGTACCAGTGTATTGAGCCACGGCAGCCACGGCCGTCGTTTCAAAAGCGCGGGAGGGCCGGGAGGGGGGGGAAAAACATCTGGAATTTCGAGGAATTCTGGAAAGTCTATGAAATTCTATCATGTATGGCCCACGATAACACAGCTGGTGCTACGGATGAGGTTGGGGCGACGATGGAGGTGGGGAGATGGGCTCGAAGTGACCACATGTTCATCATATTAAAAGAATTTGAAGGAGGCAAGCCGCATTGTATGTTTTTCATTACATACATATATATATATATATATGTACAGTATGTATAATGTATGTATAATGTATGTATATTGCTGTTGAATGGCTGAAGAATCATAATTCACATCTTCAGCTGCAATGTGCTGTCAGTTGGGAGTCCACCCGAGGACACCATCGGCGAGATTATGATCACCGGGTCGGACAAACGAACTTCACAGCAGTGCGCCCAAATCTTTGTGGATTTCATGTTGGATTATCCACATGAACAAAAGGCTCTTCAACATCGCAACTCTGATCCAAGCTGATTGTTGAACCTCCAGATGGCAGTAGATAGATCGGATCTTGATTGTTTGATGCGACCATTTCTGGCGGAGATGGAGAGGTCATACTCGCAGACGGTTCCTTCGATGGTTCTCTGAAGATAGGGAGAGAGAGAGGGAGAAACATCCCGCGGCCTATGATCATGGCCCCAAATTGCCATTTTTAACGGTGTGAATCCACAGCTACATGCCCTATCTTCAGACACACATGACACACCAGCAACGCCCTTTTTTGGGAGGTTTCCGATGGATTGAAGCCGAGGCATGAACCATTTGCTGAAGAATTTGGGCTATGCTGAGGAGGGCGGTCGGCGAGCTGCTTTGAACTGCCTCTACTTAGTGTCATGACCAGGAAGACTGAGAAAAAGCCACGCCAACTTGATGGCAAAGCGGATGTTCGTATGTTCAGTATGTTATGCAGTTATGCACACATTTTTACAAGGAAATTGGTGAATGGCGGGGTGGTTCATGATGGGTTCACATGTGCGATGTCCTGCCCGTTCTGCTGTTTGCTTCTCGGCAGTTCTTGTTGGTACTTCTTTGTTCGTTATGTTGCCCGCATATTGTTGGTGAACCAACCACAGGTTTCTTCTTTCTTGGTTTATGCGCCATTTGGGTGGTTGACCAACCAATTTTGGATAGTTCCTGCTGATGTTCCACGGAAGTTTCTGTACCTTTCTGCTGGTGCTGCTGGTGTTTATTGGATTCTTCAGTCACCATTTGATGTGGTTCAACCACCATGGTTTTTTGTTTACCTAAACCTCGATTTGTGGATTACTTGTTGGTGAGATGTACCTTCCTAATTTCCCAGCCAACCATATGAGGTAAACCAACCCAGTTCTGGATTGGTTGGATATATATGTTATTTCTTTTTCCGGTACAGTAAAGCAATGATAAAAAACAGTGTTTTCCTAGAAGTCTTTCCAGGTTGGTTCACATATTGGTTAAACCAATACTGGTTCCATAGTGGTGCCCATCTCCATGCATCTCCAGCAATGTTGCTTCAGCCTCCATTTCGGCTGGTTCACTCGCCACTGTTGGTCAATCTACCTACCTGTGCTGGTCAATATACCCAACTACATATGATATTATAGATTTATATTTATATATTCATGTGTCTATATAGAATATATAGTGGTGGTGCATATATATATATATACATATAATTATACAATTAGTATATGACATTGTTCAGGGTCCTTGACTTTCCAGCTAAATCCATGTTGGTCAATATACACTGTTTCTATGTTTACGTTTTCATCAAACATCTAAATCCATCATTTATCACATTATCACACTATATCCCCACACGTTTGACGGTCACAACCCATCATTGGTTAAATCACATTTTTTCATGAAACAGAACATGATGGTTAGGTTATATTATTTATTCATTGACAAACCCCATGAAATACCATAATTGTATATAATTATCATCCATGAAATTCACTGCTTAAACCCATCTATTCTTGAAACAAAAGAACATGCTATTCCAACTTTTTTTGGGATGTTATTTTCATGATGATTTCACCACATTTCACCATCAAACCTCCAGGTTTTCACCATGTTTCTTTCACCATTCAGGTGGTGCTGCACTTCCCGGAAGCTCAGCTCAGCAGCTGGTCCTCGTTGATCTTCGCCGCGGCCGCCGCGCGGCTCAGTGCCGAGACGGACGCCACGGCACACCAGCACCGTGGCCGATGATCGGATGGGGGCGGGGCGGAGTCTGATTAAATCAGACTTGAATATAATATTGATCATCTTTTTAGGGAAAACCATAGGAAAACCATAGGAAAATGGTGGTTTAATGGTGTTTGATGGAGATTTACCCTCTGGTAAACATACAAAAAACTATGGAAAGATCCACCATTTTCAATGGGAACATCCACTATAAATGGTCATTTTCAATAGCTATGTTAGTTTACCAGAGGGTAATTGATCATCCAAATGATGAAACAAAGTGGATTTAGTAGCCAACAACACATTATTTTTTTAAAATTAACCACAAGTTTATGCACATAGCACATAGCGTATGAACCAGCCAAATGGTGAACAAATGGTCTGCAAACTAACCAGCACTTCATGCGACGTGTGACCACCAAAAAAACGGCGATTAGCACGGCTGGGGGTTTAGAGATCTGTGAGGCGATAAGCCTTGGACCATGCTGAAGGCTGACTCCCAGAATAGGTTTCAATGACTTCACCCCCTGGAGGATTGGATCTCTGGATGATCTTTGGATCATTTTGGATCCATATTCTCCATATATGGTCCTCATTGTTGGTAGCAACCAGGAAGCCGCAGAATTTAGAGGCTGATTCAGGCTGAGTCCACCAAATTTCACCATATTTTACCGGTCATCTCTTGAATCACCACTTAAATAACGACCTCACCGCGACATCTGCGACGTCACCGGAATGATTGTTGTTGAATTATGAAGATTTATCCAGCTTTATACCATCACATTACACCTCAAGATTTTAGTCAGTAGCCTCATGGTATCCCCATGGCGAAGCAACCTGACGGCATTGCAGTCATCCCAGAACGAGACGCTCGGAGCTGCAGGATGCTCCACGTGCTCATTCTGTCACTCCTGCGGAAGATCAACGCGTCCTCGCGCGAGAGGCTGCTGGATTTGGTCCTGAAGTGGCGCCTTTCTGCTCCAACAGTGCTGGCAACTTGGACTATGGTGGGGATGGGGTAGTGGGGTTGGGGTTGGTTACTGGATCAAAATAAGATAGGTGCACTACAAAAACTACATGTCTTAAGTCAATATTGAGGATGATGCGCAAAAGTTGTGGTTTTTTGATGCCTAATTTTTGAGACTGGCGCTGTCAGGAGCAACTTTCTATGCCAAGCGCAGCCCGTTGCTAAACCCCGCAGCAGTGTTAGATCAAACCAGTCTACTCTCAAGGCCCATGCATTCTAAGCAAAACAACTTTTTTCCTCAGGATTCTAGCATTTTTTCTAGAAATCTAATTGCAATCATCATTTTCGGCATTCGACTGGGGCCCTTGAAGGGAGTCAGCAGACGAAGTGAGGCATCGTTTCGCTTGTAAGAACACCTCTTGTTCATGAAACAGAATTCATCAGCCAACAGAATTCGCAGGCTTGCAATTTGCACCCTGATGTCCCAAGAGTCCTTGTACGACGTTTTGCTGGTGGACCAGAATGCCACATTGGATGAGATCAAGCTGGCCTTCAAACGAAGAGCGTTGCAAGTTCATCCAGACAAAGGTGGCAGCAAGGAGGCCTTCCATGTGGTCTACCAGGCACTTGAAACCTTGGCCGATCCAGAGGCCCGCCAGAAGTATGACAAAGGACTGGCTAAGCAGCCAGCTGGACATACTAAGTGCAGAGGCACAGAACGGAAAACTTCCAAATGTGGTCAGCCTCAGAGGGAGCGGTGCCCCAGGCAGAAAGCTGGTAGGAGAAATGCGGGAACAGAACCTGCAGCCTCCTCAGAGTCGAATCAAACAAAGCTATTGATGAAAATCCGAGATCTCTTGAAGAAGTTGCCTCGGGATGTGCGGAATGATGTCATTACCAACCAGTTCTCTCAAAAGCAGCGGCTGATTCTGGAGAAGTGGATGGTGGAGACGGTGGAGGCATCAGCGTCTCAAAGTGGAAGAGAGACAGAACCAGCAATGGAGCATCCCGGCCTCCCAGATCAGAGCTACAAGCTTTGCACTTTGCCTGGTCTTTGCACCTCAAGCTTCAGCCCCACAACTTCTAAGAAGCAAGGTTCAAAGCAAAAGACAAGAAACAGGAAGAACGAATCTGATGCAAAGGTGCCAAGCAGGAGCGGTTATGTCAAGAAGAAGGGGGGCGGTGCTTATACTGCAGGAATTTGCTTTGATGGAATAGAAATGCATACGAGAAATTGTGACTTGCAAAGCGGGCTGGAGTATTTGGTGGTTTTGACGGCTGTGAAGCAGAAGATGCAAGATTCCACCCTGGGCCTGGGCATCACTTTTGAGAGGCGATTGCAGGAAGCGCTCACATCATCTGCTAAAGAGCACGGAAAAGACCTAGCGGATCTCAAGCTAAGCTTCTTTGTTTTGCAAGCTGCTGGCTTTTTTATTGGATCAGACTTGAGAACGCCTAGCGTTCGCACTGTTGAACAGCTTGGAAGAATGCGCCACTGCTTGCAGCCCTTTCGACAATACGCCAAGAATGTGGGGACACGCAGCATTTATTGGCAGCACAGTCCAGCCCATCTCAAAGATAGCTGGGAAAAGTTTCAAAAGGCAGTGGCTGATGCTTGGCACATGGCTGGCGTAAACAGCACAAGGATTCAACAGACGATCCGAGCTCGTCATGATGCCAGACTGGAATCTAGGAACGCACAGTTGCAACAGTGGGAACGGGGCCACATGGCCATGCAAGACAAGCACAAGTACCGTCCCCGGAGATTGCGAGAAAGGACTGAAACCCGCCTTCAGCTGTGGGAGAGGCGAAAGATGGCCCTGCAAGACAAGAATGAACATCGGCCCAGGAAATTTCAAACACGTTTGAAATTGCGAAGATGCCCTTCTGAGTCTAGGACTCAATTGGCTTTGAAAAGGCTTCTTGTGAGATGGGGACGAATTTTGAAGCGCCAAGCCGGGATGGTTGAGAAAGAGCGGCGCAACATTTTGCAACAGAGAAAGGTTCGGCGGAAAAAGGCCATAGAGGAACGAAAGCGGGCGGAAGCTTTGAACAGAGAACATTTGCGCAAGGAACGCTTGAGAAGAGAAAATCTTCGCAAGAGAATGAGATCCGACTTTACTATGGCTGATATTTTCGGTGATCCGGATGTCCGGCAGCCAGATAGGAAAAACCGGTTTCTGCAGAGGGAAGGGGTTCCCAGGGTCAGGCTATAGCCGCCTCGGCTGATAATTGCTTGCACGGATAGCTCCAAAGCTTGTACACAGATTGCATAAATAGTTCACATTTGTGCATGCACAGGTTTCGTATTTTGATTGCTAAATCCAGATCTTTCACCATGTTTGGTCATTGAACTCCAATGTTTCACAGCTTTCCATGCTTCAATCCAAGTGCACCATGTTATTCACCAGTGTTTCACTTATTTTCTTGGTCACATCCAAGTTCCCCACTTGTTTCACCAGTGTTTCACCAGGTGTTCATGGTATTTCATGGTCACAGCCACACTTTGCCCCCCTGAAATCTACAAGTGCCAACGAAAAATTCAGGCCGAATGCCTGGGTCTCTTTGTTGAAGCCGTGCCACGGGAGACCTCCGAGTCGCTGGTCTCCAGCGTTCTGCAAGCGTTGGCGCAGCTGTGCAAGGGCTCCGAGTCCACGGCGCCACCGCCCTGGCAGGTGCCATGGGAGCTTTGTAGCGGGGAAAATCAAGGAGAAATGGTGGATTTTCCAGCAAGCCATGTTTGATTACCGGAGGGTGTGGCAATTTAAGTGCAAAAAGAGAAAAAAGTGGTGATGAAGCTTACAATTTGCGGGCGTATGAGTTTCAGACAAGCCGCAGATGGGCTGATTTTAGCCCAAGTTCATGGCAAGAAGAGGTAAAGTGATGAACAATCCAGGAATTCCAAAAACGATTTAGCCCCCTAAAATTATTGGACCTTGATTTTGCGGCAATCCTAATGTGGAAAATGATGACTAACCTGGGTTGGATCAAGCAGAATCGGAGCGTTTCACCAACTGAAATGAGGCGAAATCACCAACAAACCATGGAGATGTCGGCGATGTCGCCCCAAGATGATATATGCTTGCGGTATCCCATGACTGTGTTCCCACTTAGTTGAATGGTTCATACATTCATGACTCCATGACTGAGAACACACCTACAGTTACAGTGTACACACGGCTGTGCCTGTTTTGTGCCAGGTGAGCTACGCCATCTTTAAGAGCTTCGAGCGCATCTTGACTTCAGTATCGCCTATGCTGTTGACATCAATGACGCTGGGCATCCAATTCAGCCCGTGGGTTCCCAGGGCCCAGGTTTTTTTGGAGCGGTTTTTTCAATTGTCGCCCGATTCATTCTCATGATCATCTTCATCCTCATGAACATGTTCTTCCTCCGCGTCATTGTCCTCACCATCCTTCTCCTCATTCTCATTCCTCCATAGCTCTCTTTGGGCTGTAAAGCCTTGCGATGATGGAACTGCCTCAAGGGCTTGTGTCAGGATGGACGCCAGCGATTCAGATCCCGGTGCCTCATTGAAGTACCTTTGGTCCCTCGGACCTAGTTGCGGAATGCTTGGCATTGCGGTGGCCTCTAAGTACAACTACCTTTTAGTGATCAAACGTGGCAGTGGGAGAGTGTGATGGATTCATCTACTGTACATAAATGATAGACTTTCCATTGCCAGCTCTAATCATCAGAGATCAAAAAAGATCAGTAATTATCCTCCTGGGGTGGGGCGACAAGTTCAGCCGCAGTATGAGCCGTATGATTGCACAAGTTAATGGTGAAAATATGCGAAAATACAATTGTTCTCAAATGATTCAACCACCAGCCCTTGCATCGCCTAACAAAAAAAAAACGTACCCCCATGCAGCCCCTAGAAAACATACCGAACCTTCAAAAGCGGATTCCCACGTTTGATGTCAGGATTCTCAGATGTCACTCATTTTTATTTGAGAACCCCAATCAACAGTGTGACATCCCAATGGGATACACATCACATTGATCCAACTGTCCAGCGCTGCCTGGCCTAGCTCCTCCTGATTTGATCGCCATTCGTTGATTCGTTGCATATGATCTAAGACCTAAGGGCACGCCATTTCCCAATCATCTTTTTTTCATCTTAAATCCACTTAGATCCCCATGTTTTGGTGGATGGATATCCCGTATTCATCATATAATCATCATATAATCATCGTAAGCATTGATATCATCACATAATCATAACATAATCATCAGATAACCATCATATAATCATCATAATCATTAATATCATCATATTTTTCCTATGAATTCCACATGAATTCCCTATGATTTTCACCCTCCCCGGGGATTTCACCGGCAGCACCCCAGGTGCCAATTGTTGGGTGCCGATGCATTCTCCGATTCCCGGCACGCCTGGCAGATCAGCGTGGCCTTGCGCTGCCTGGAGCTGCAGAGCGCCAAGTGGCGCGGGGCGGAAGCCGCCCAAGGCACCAGGGGAGAAAGCCACTCATAATCTGGATAATATATGGATATAATGTCAACCCCGGATTAATAAACCATGGTTTATTAATTAGGGGGGTACTCCTCCAATAGTCAAAATCCAAAAACTGGGGTATATTATAACTGTGAGATTGGTGCAGAGGTCCAAACCAAGTCTCTAGCTGCAGCACACGAAGTCCACAGCCAAGTTGCGAAAGCAGCGCCCTTTTCAAAGCGCAGACAGCGCAGCCATGTATTGGCGGTCAGAAAGTTTCCCACCCTGAGTGGGCAAGTGGCAATTGGGCCGGTATGGCCACATGTATAAACACCTTAGCAAAAGTGCAAGACAGACCTGGCAGGTGCAAAACATGCTATGGCAAAGGTTGCATGGAGTGCAAACTAACACGGGGAGAGAGCTATCTGTACAGCACTCAACCATGCATTGCTACAGGCCATGCAGTTGCACCTTGCTCAGTGATCCATGTCTCTAATTCTCTTAAAAGAGACACACCACGGCCATCCAGCGCATACGGAGTGATCTCACCAGTCGAACAGGTCGGGCACGGTTGAAATCTTCTCACTCCATTGGCTTCGTTCAGGCGACCACTGGGCAGGTTCCGGCATTGCGGTTGCGCATGCCAGATATTGTCGTTGGTGACCCAAATCAAGTCACTCAACGGACAAACATCAGCATGATCGAAGGATTCGACCAAAGCCCTTCGCATGATGTCCACTCCAGCATCACGCTGGCGATCAGCGTTTTCCAGAAAGTCCCGGTTTCGGGCAAAGTTTCTGTACTCTTGGGCTATATGCTGTTGCTCATAGTCCATCCTTGCAAAAAGTATTGGCAGGGCTCGGCTCTGTGCAATCGCACCCCGCGCATCGGTCATGGCGGCCAGATATCCATCATCAAAGGCCTTCTTGAGCTTGAGTTTGACGTAGGCGGCCAAAATCACCACCAAAAACATCCCAAGCAAAACCATGAAAAACAAAATGCCAGGCTCAACTTTGGGCAGGGCTGACAAAATACCAGCGGCACTTGTGAAACCAAGGTAGTAGCGCATCTTTTCGAAGATCGCTCCCTCATACACATTGATTCCCTCGGACTGTGGCAGGACTGTGTTGATATATTCAATCACCTCGTCGGTGTACACCATGTAGACACCAGAGGCGACAGCAGCATTCGCAGGGCTTTCAGCATCTTGCGTTTCAGTTTCATCTCCAAGTTCTTCATCCATCACATCCTCATTGATGACTCGAAGTCGTTGAGGTGGCGGCGCAGCATGTTGGTCCATGTTGGCTTGTCGCTCTTGTGCAGGCTTTCTTTTGGCAGCAACGTATTGAGGATCCCAGTAAAATCCAATCTTCCCATGTCGAAGTCTGTTGGCAAGCAGCTGGCGGCTGCTCGTTTTGGTGAGGCCATCCGCCCATTGGCGTTCCGAAGAAACCCATCTCAGTTCTCCTCCAAGGTCTTGAAGAAGCTCCTTGATCACACGGATCTCCAAAGCAGTGCGGCGATCCGTCACATTCGCCGTAACAGTCTCTCGGTGAAAACTGTCATACAAAGCTTTTGCATCTGTGATCATGACTGGTTTCAAGGTAGTTGGCCTTCTCAGCAGTTCAGCCAGTTGTAGGTTGGGACATAGGAGGTGGTCCCAAAACTTGCAAACAGCATCAGTGGCATCTGTTGCTTGGGCAGCGGCCTGTGTTTCGGCGGCCAGTGAGCTCCGAGCAACACGGGGCAATTTCATCGATCGCCACTCCAGCATGTGGAAGTTGTCTTCCTGGTTGACCAAGGTGTGCTCTGGCACCAGGAGGATCATGTAGCCACCTTGAGAGGACCCGTCGGGCCTCGTCGAAAACGAAGCGTCAAACAAGGTGACAAGTCGAAGCTGTTCCACAGGACCCAGGCTTTTGTAAACCAAACCGACATCACCATTTTGTTTTGCAAACTTCAAGGTTCGATTGAGGTCTTGGACAGTGCTAACTTTGGCATTGTTCACCTGTCCAGCAGCTAGGGAAACTGAGGCCTGGAGGTGCGGTGAACTCTGCACGCTAGGCCACTGTAGTGCTCCACAAAGTCCACGGAGCGCAGTGATCTCCTTTGAAGTCAGCTCCACATCAGGTCCATGAGACCGAGGAATGGTCATTGGATGAATCTTCTCCACATAGGTCTGCTGAAAAAGCTTCAAACCATCTCCATCAGGCAGTTTCTCGATGGAGCAGCCACAGTATTGCAGGACGTCACCATCTTTCCATTCACGAAAGTTAAACACGGACTGCAGCTCTTTGATGATTCTTTGCCAGGTAGGCGAAGTTGGGCATCCCGACCCCAAAAGGTCGTCAACATGCAAACACACCATGCCGCATAGTCGGCTGTCACCAAGGGTTCCAGTTGTTGAGGCACCATCGTTGAAGTCGGCCTCATAGGCCAAGAAGCAGCAGGGATCCAGGTAGTGTGGTCGTAGACCAAGATCCTTCAGCCTTCTGGTGGCTTCTTGATACCATCTTCTCGGTGCATCTAACTGGCCATACACCGGTTTCAACAGCAGCATTCGGCATGTGTCTGGAGCTCCCAAAAGTCTCAGGCACTCAGGTGGCAATTTCACCCACAACTTTCGTTCTTGTGGAAGTCCTTGAAGAAAAGCAGTTGCCACATCGGCTGTCCAGGCAGACCAGCCTAGCAGTGCCGTCAGGCTCATCAGGAAGTTTCGAGAGGTTCTGGAAGTTGTTGGACTGCTGGTTTGCAATCCTTTGTCCAAGGCATCCACATCCAAGTAGCCACGGACTATCAACCTGGCTTTTGCTCTTGGACTCCCGTCAGGGTTCTTTGACCATTTGGTCAAGACACGTGCTGTCAGAGTTCGCTCTGGCTGAGCGTTTTCCACTGTGTCAAACTCCCAAACCTGGTTCTCGAAAAACGACTGAAGCTCTTTGCTTTTCGCCTCCTGAAACTTTGCACGATCATCAGGAGAGAGCAGTCTTTCGTTGATGGAACTGTTGGCAACCTTCTTGTGCTGTTTGGCCATCTTGATCTTTGTGTCCTTGCCCAAACGTTTGGAAGGCAAGCTGGCAAACATACCCATTTCACGGCGAGCTTTGCCAGAGATCTGGAAGATGGTGCAGCCGGTCCATTCAAAGTCCAAGAACCGCTGCTCAGCACCAAGGTCGTTGATGACCCGCAGTTTTCCATCAGCAGCTTTTGCAACCGTAGTGCGGTTGGCATCCAAAAGGTCAGCAGGGATCGGCACATCAGAGATCTCCTTGATCTTGAAGAGGCAGCGGCGTGGCCGTACATGGTGTCGAATGACACAGCCAGCTTTGACTTCCCAGTAGTCCATGGGGTCATTCGTCAAGCTGAAGTAGCCATCATCATCAATCTTCCAGCCATCAGGGATCTGTGAAGGATCCACGTCAAGTACATCAAAGGACTGCATGTAGTGTTCACGGACATCTCGATCTCGATCTTTCTGATCGTCCTTGTCCTTGTCATAGGGCTGGGATTGTCGTTGACGATGTTGCCGCATAGGACCAAAGATTGAGGTCTCGGCTCGATCCATTAGGATACGTCGATGTCGAAACTCCTCTTCAGGGCCAGCAGGCTCATAGAGGTTCAAGTTGGTAGATGTTGGTGCGGTGGCATTGAAGAAGGTTCAGGTGGTTGCACTGGAAGAGGCTCAGGTGCAGCAGGTTCAGCTGCCATTGATGGTGCTCTGGTGTGCACCGCTGGTGTTTCAGGATGAGGTGGTTCAAGTCCAGGTTCATCAGAGTCCACATGGATTGGAGAATCACCTGCATCTTGAAGTTCAGGGCCAATCGGAGGTCCACCAGCTTCGTCTGGTGCAATTGATGGCGAGTAGCTCACACTGCGTTCCCCAGCTGACTGCAAGTCCAAGTCCAAGTCAGGTGGGTCAGCAATGGGCTCAGGAACCGGCAGAAAGTCCAAATCCGGTTGATCACCCGGTGGCAAGTCCAAGTCCACACCAGGATGATCGCCAGTGCGGCGTCGAGTTGATGGAGGTTCTTGAGGGTCTCCACCATCGCCATCTTCACCATCGTCAGGAGCATCATCTTGCATGCCCTCTTCATCATCATCCACATCATCGATGTTCCGGCGGTTCAGTCTTCCAAGGTCCAGGAATCGGGTGACTCCTCTGGATTTGAGGCCAGCGATGTCATGTCGTGCAGCTTGAAGTCCATCGATCGCGACCTGCAAATCAGTGAAGTCAGGCCGAACATGATGTGGTGCTGCTCGGATGAGCTGGGTGCGGTGTGCAACCCAATAGAGTCTGGGACGACCCTGCTCATCATGCTCCACCATAACCACTCGAGCAGGACCATGCCATCGTATCTTCTTGAGGTCAGAGGCACGGCTGTCTCTCCAGTAGAAGCAGCTTTGGCCCAAAGTCAAAGGCCCTTGCTGGCGTTGGTACTTCCGAAGAAGAGCACGCCTGAGCTTTCGATCCACCTCGGCAGCAGTGATTGCATTTCGAGCGGCAGCTCGACGCTTCAAGGTCTCCTCAAAGGGTTGGTTTCCTTCAAGGTGTGCTGGGCCAAGTGAATCTGAAAGAAGTTCGCCAGCAAGTTGAGGTTGATATCCAAGAAGCCATTGATTTGGCGAGTAGCCAGCAACCGTAGTTGAGCTGTTCAGCTGTGGGATGGTGTAGGCCAGTGCCTGTCGAAGTCCATCGCGATCTGAAAGTCCAAGATCGGCCATGTAGATCTCCACAGCTTTTCGAAGAACAGCATGGCGGCGTTCCACCAAAGCCAAACGAGTGTGGGCTTCTCCAGGTGCTACCAAGTGCTCGACCATGTGAGCGCTAACCCATTCTTGAAACTCATCAGAGGCCCAACCACGGCCTTCATCGGTCAGCAAGGTCTTGGGGCATCCAAAGTGTCGCACCCAATGGCGCTCCAGCACTGAAAGAAAATGCTCAGAGCGTTCTCCATGAAGAACTCCAGCAGCTTGATAGCGAGTGGCCTGATCAAGCAGGCTCAAAATGGGGAACTTGCGGTCTTTGACCTTCACCCACATCACATCCGCTTGCAAAACATGGTTGAACTCCTTGACATCGTTCAACACAGCTGGTGGCACACTGTCGGGCTTTTTGTACCGTTCACATGAGGCACATGAAAAGTTGCGAGCCACTTCCAAGACCACATCGCTCGCTCCACGGCTTTCCAGGGTTTCCACCAAAGCCTCCATGGACGGGTGTCCCAAGTTCCGATGCAAACGTTGAACGCATCGAACAGCTTCTTGGCGGCTGTTGGTGAGCAACTGGATGATGCGGCCAACATGTTTCTTTTCATCGTCAGCGGCTCCAACAAAGTCAGAGATGGTTGGCAGCTCATCCATCATCAGGCAGGCAGCCAGTGTGGAAGCCAAAGTGGGCTGGTAGTGCTCGAGGTATCGCGTCCGACGTCCAACATCAGGACCACTTCCTTCAAGCCGGCAGTGTTGATGATCACCAGCACATCGCCGTTGGAACTCCTTGTACACGGCCATCTTTGTGGTCTGCAGACCAGTTGGCTTTTGAACCAACCTCCATACCAAGTCGGTGTCTTGGCAGGTGCAACCATATTGGCATTGATCAAATCTGCAGTAGAGTCCAGGAAGATTTGAAAGAGCACTGGTACGCCACGATCGAGCGTAGGCAGGTTGTTCCAGATGGGCGTGACCACCCTGCTTGATCTGCTTGAGGTACACCTTTTTGCGAAAACAAAGATGAACTTGATGATGCCACTCTCGAAGTTCACGTAGTTGTTGCTGTTGTTCAGGTGTTCGTGCTGCAAGTCCTTGCATCAGTGACCAGGGTCCACAAGTTGGTGAAAGGTAGATCTCGTCAGGGACCTCTTTCTCCTGCAAGGCCAAGAACGCACGTTGGTGAGCAGGTTGATCAAAATCCCAACAAGTGTCGAGAGAAAACACCCTCACAGTGGCTCCAAGGCTCTCGGCGATCTGTGCCATGCGGCTGCGACCACCATAAACTTCCCAAATCACTCGACCACGATCACCAGCATGAAGCTCGGAGGTGATGTAGCCATGCATGTCATTGAGCTCCTCAGTCAGGCGGGCATCCATGGTTTGAAAAAGATGCCGTTGGCACCTGACTGTGCCAGGTAAAATCCATTCATCGCCATGGTCATGAGCTTGAAAAATCATCTCTTCACCGTTGAACTCCAGGAAGGTGCGAGGATTCAAGTCCACCTCGCCAGGTGAGGCCAACTGCAAGTCAAAGTGGGGCTCAAGGGCTGCATGGAAAATCTCAAAGTCCATGGAGAGAGGTAGCAGATACTCTCCATGCAGACCCATCAGCGCAGGCATCCATTGACCATCACCATACCTGATCTTCTCAGAAGAAAAGTCCAAAGCTATGCCAAGTTGTTGTATGATTGGCCGGCCACACAACATAGGCGTTTCACCAGGGACCATGAAAACCTGGGCAAAACCGTAGAGGCCATTCACAAACATTGGCATTCTGGCGACCCACTTGGCTACGCTTTCAGCGTCTCCTCCAAAATGAAATTTCCGATCACAACGGTAAAACAAAATGGTTTCCACAGGGTAGCCAAGTTGTTGCAGGTGTTTGAGGTACCTGCCCATGGGTCCATATCCACAAAGGAAAGCTGAGGCACCAGGGTCAAGCATCGCAACATCGGTGCGCTCATGCCCATGTTTGTCCATGAAGGTCACCAGGGCTCCCTCGGCATGCTCTGCCATCGACTCAGTGGCAGGAGCAGGTCTCTTGTTGGGGCTGCTCTTCTGGTTGTTGACAGGGCAGTTTGCGGCAAAATGCCCTTTCTGGCCACATCGAAGGCATTGCAGGGCAGCTTGGGCTCGTTGTTGTGGTTGTGCAGGTTTCATAGGCGCCTTGTCGTACTTGTACATGTTGGGCTTACCACCTTTCGATTTTCCCTTGCCCTTCTTGCCCTTGGGCGATCCACCGCCAGAACTCCTTGAAGGCGAGGAAGTGCCAGGCTGCAAGTTGGAGTCCTGAAGGGCAACAATGGGCAAGTAGCCACGGCTCAACTTCAGGTCATTGAACCTTTTCCTTGCATCCAGGTAGGCTGCATAGGCATCATCCCATGAGGCCACATCGAAAGTCGACGTAGTGCCATCCTCAGGAAGGGTCGATTCAGCTTCCCAGTCACCATTCTGGTAGTAGGCGGCGTCATCATCGAAGCCTTGTTCATCGAAGCTGGCATTGTCATCCCATTCCCAGTGGGCATCATAGTAGGACTGTGAGTCCCAATCCCAATCATCAGCGTCGCCATCATCGTCCAGCTCATCACCAAAGTAGGCTCGACCACCTTTTCCACGGTGCCATCGGCGGTCATGTCCAGCCGGGGCAGCTCCAAGCTTGTAGTCCTGACCCAAAATCAGGTACATAGCTTCTACAACTTTTGTCAGCTCGAGTTGCGGTGCCCTCAAATTGACAAGTTGCCTTTGTTCTTTGGTGAGGCCACTTTTCCGAAGTAGGTGCCATCCTTGTACTGCTGTCGGAAGGCTGACACCATGTTTCTCCAGTTTCTTGTGCAGCTCCGCATGGTCGCTGACATAGGCCAACAGCGTCTGACCAGGCTTTCTCTGAAGTCCAAAGTAGCCATCAAAGTCACTGGGCAACTGCACTCTGGTATCATACTCAAAGTGACCATCTAAGAGCTTGATGATGCTCTCGAAGGCAGATTCCTTTTCACATTCATCCAAATTGAAATCTTCCACAAGTCTCCATGCCGAACCTTGAAGACTGCCGATGATGTTCAGCACGGCTTCTCCATTCCTTTTCGTCAATCCCATCTTCCTGTAGTAGATGTGGATTCTTTTCCGCCACTCCTTGTAGTCGGCAGGTTGGCCCGAAAACAAGGGGATGAAACTGTCACGGGTGGTAGCATCAGCTGAGGTTTCCTGCTTGGCAGATCCAGAAGCCATACTCCACAACGTCCAAGGTGAACTCCAAAAGGGTGAGCTGGTCTATGCCCTTAGGGTTGATCAAACAGTAGAGCTCGACCAGGAGTTCTTTCCGAAGCGCTCCACAGCCAGGACCCAGTAGAGCTAGAAGTCCAAGAACCAAAGCTCCAAGGATCAGGCAGCGCTCCGCTACCAATGTGAGATTGGTGCAGAGGTCCAAACCAGTCTCCAACTGAGGCACCCGAAGTCCGCAGTCGCTAAGTGCAAATGCGCCTTTTCCAAGCGCAAGACAGCGCAGCCATGTAAAGCGGTAAAAGATTCCCACCCTTAGTGGGTAAATATCCATATGGGCAATTGGGCCGTAACGGCCGCATGTCACCTTAGTGAAGTGCAAAACGGACCTGGCAAGTGCAGAACATGCTATGGCAAAAGGTTGCATGGAGTGCAAACTAACAATATTATATTATATTATATTATATTATATTATATTATATTATATTATATAATATTATATTATATTATATTATATTATATTATATTATATATATATTATATGGTGTATATATATATATTATCATATATATATATATTATATATTATATATATTATATGGTATATATATATTATATGGTATATATATATTATACATATATATATATATTATTATATATATAATATTATATATATATAAATACACACAAATAATTATCACATAAATCGCGAGAGGCAATAAAAGTGATGAACCTCCAAAGACATCCAGAGAGAGTCCATCTCTGCCAGGCGGGAAACAGCTGCATTGTGCCCAGGGTCCACAAGGACCTCTGCGGGACACACGTCTTTGTCATGGAATTCATCCAGGGTGGCCCCATCTTGGACCTTGGCAAGGCTGGATGGAGCTGAAGGACGGCAAGCCAGAAGGAACTAAGTTGCGAGTGGGTTATAAATGATATCAAATTTGTATATGGGTATGTATCAATACCTATTAATACCATTTTTAGAGGGATGAACATCCATTTACCAGCTATTTTGATGTGAACTACAGGGGTACAAGGTTTTGACACACTGCCATAACCCCTCAAAAATCTGGGATGTATTTTGATATATCCACCTGTTTCAAACCACTTGGCTACTGTAATTATTCTGGCAACATTTAGGTCCGCTAGCATGGATGTGAAATGATGCGAAAGCTCGCTCGATTTTACAAGAACGTCATCTCTGGGCAGGCAGTTAGTTGATGGGAGGATCTCTGGGACGATGCACATTGACTATTTCAGATACTTTTGGATTTGTTTCAGGTGTTTTATACCTTCTTCTAATACCACCATCACTTTTTAACAGTTTTGTTTCAGTTGTTTAGTGAAATATGGGGATGCTACATGCTCCATGTTTGCCAACATCTAACCACCAATAAGGATCATCCAGTTTTGCAGGGTACATCTACCATCAAATTTCGCGGCAGGCGGAGTTCTGCGAGAGAAACGGGGTGGACAAACACCGTGTCTTGACAGAGCTGCTCCATGCCTTTGGCATCATGGCCTTTAAGGACGGGCAGATCCACCAAAGCTGAGCTTTGGTTTTCACCACTTTTGCTGCTGAAATCTTTGATTTTGCTAGGAAATCGATAAACAGACGATAATAAACATTGATACTTTTCTAGGAAATTGATAAACATATTGATTAAAAAAACAGATAATCAAAATTGACAACCTATTTGCTGATTTCCAGTCTTGGGTCCATCATAATGATAGGCGGTTTAATTGCAGTTTAAGAATTGGCTCTTATTAGTGGCTTTGGATGCTTCACTTAAGCCTTTTCATAGACACAACATAATATATCATAATATCATATAGTATCATTCTTATAAGGCTTATGAAAGGCTTCTTAGCCATCAACAACCACGATTTTAGGGCGAATCCAACCATCATTTTTTCCAGTGGGTCACCTTTTGGGGTGCCGAGTCCCTATGAACTGGTAGACCAATGGATGGACATGGGACCCATGTGGATTGCCTACAAGACTGGGGTATTGGTGGGGTAAAAGCGGGTTCGATCCATACATCGACCAAACATGAAATGGGTATGACGTTTTTTTGTGGTGTTTCATCCCCTGGCTTTGAAGAGCAAAGATGATTTTCTCATTTACGCTTTGCAGCATATATTCTAAATGTCTACAATGTCAACCCCAGATTGATCAACCTTGGCTGATTGAGTAGGGGGATTCCGCAAACAGGTTCCGGATGTCCAACGGGCAAAACGATGAACCAGAACACCACATCTCAACATGTTCCGGTAAAATCTACATATAAACATCTAGCAGGATGTGTTCCCCAAAACAAGGACCTGCAAAAAAAAAACAAGACGATCCACCTTCGAGTCAGGACATTTCAATATTTCCACAGCGGTGCCCGTCCAGGACGGCATGTTCCACGCGGATCCCCACGCGGGCAACGTGCGGCTGGTGCTGGATCCCAATGCGCCCGGCGGTGCGAAGCCGGTGCTGCTGGACTGGGGGCTGATCCGGGAGATCACGGATGCAGAACGCTTGGGACTGGCCAAGGTAGGGGATGGGCTGCTGGATTCAACAAGATTCAACCTCCAAAGGGACCCCAAGCCCCCAAGAATGGTTAAGATACGCCTTATATTGAGGGGGGTCACCTTTGGGTGTGGATGCCATCAACATCCATCAATGTTGCTTCTGGGAACATGATTGAATGAAACCAGAAACAAGCATGTAGGTCAAGGATTCAGGAGGGTGCAATGTTTGATTGCCGGCGATTAAACCTTCAAGGTGGATTGTAGTGTTTTTTTGGCAAGTAAACGGCAGGTGAATGATGGTTGGACAAGGCATTCTGGGGCTTCACTTGTGATGGATGAACATTCACTGCTTTGACAAAGTGATGGTTCTTATGTTGGAATCAAATGGGGGAGGGGATGTGATACTTGTGCCGTCAAGACTGACATGAAACGGAATCCCAAACCTTGGCTTTGGAAGGTGACAATCCTAGTTCTGGGACATGGCAACGTGTTCTCTGCATTCATTTTTTTGCAAAGTAGTGGCGTAGTTCCCACAGGGAGTCCATCACTCATCCTTTCCGTTCGAAGTTTCTCCAAGCTGTTGATCCGCACAGTTCGAAGGTGTTCCATTCCTTAGCGAACTTTGACATCGCGGGATTGTTCCTGGGTTCAAGAGTTGGTTCGGATGAGGGGATCACAGGAGCAACAACCATTCACAGGGCGGTGTTGGGGGTTCGGAGGGTGCCGGTGTTTCTGTAGAAGTTCAAGGGCCTTAGTAAAAATCAGAAGTTTTCAAAGTGGAAAGAGGACAACAACTGCAGAATTGCGGATCTGTGACTCTTCAGAGCTCGGGACTCTCTTGGTTTTGGGGCATCTGGCCCTATTTTTTCTGTTCCAAGAAATTAAGAACATTCAATTTTTCCAGGGTACCCAATGCCGCCCTAACAATCATAAACCATCATGTGCAGGAGAAATTCCATGTTGCTGGTGACGTGTTCGTGTATGTTTTTCATCCCCTCCCGGTGTTTGATGTTGATTCCCGACGACCTCAGGATCCGTCAATGCTTATTGTGCCACCACTCTTGGTGATCATATCACACTGCCAATCTTTGGTGGCTGCACCCATGAATTTGAGCTTCAGGTCGATCCAATCATTCGTGATATTTCCATATATTCCACTTTTGATGGATTTTTTTTTTGTTAGCGGGTAATGATTTTCATGGCAACTTCAACATGGATCCCTAGTCCAAAACTTGAACAGAAACACGACGTAGCACTGCTGAGGTTTGACGTCTTGGAGTCCCTGGGTTTCAGCCTAAGACAGGACCCATCTCGGTTTGGGGGTTAGATGGGTACCTGTCGAATGCTCGAAAAGTTCGTGCCTGTTCCATCCTGTTCCTACTTTCATAGTGATCTAATTACTGTTTTTTTTGGGGGGGAAAATCCTCTAGTGAAACTGGTTGGTTTCTGGGATCCACACTGGATGATCGCAGGAGTTGTTAAACGACGACCTGAAGCGTGATTTGATCGAAAAGGCCCGCGGCGTTGTCAAGGACAGGCCCAGTTTTTGACGTTTTTGAAGGGAGGGGGTCCTAAAACAGGGATACCCAAATAGCATGTGTTTGATAATAGATAATAGATTCATTTATTTAATCAGGAAAATCTGGCAAACTGATGATAAACTCTGATAAACGATCAATGTTTGAAGAGGTTCCTGAAATGGGGGAGCTCATGCCCGTATGGGATTGTTTGACCATGGAGGATGCCCTGCAGCTATCTTAAGATGGCGGTTTTGATAAGGAAAATGACATCATGATAAACCAGTGGGTTTCAGACTGCCAATTTTGGGATATTATCATATTATATATCTATATATACATATATAATTATATTATATATATACATAAGTGTGTTTGTTATAAAGACATGAGATCAACACTGATTGATATGACATGATATATAAATATACATATATAATATATACCTATATTATATATACGTTATTATATGTATATATATTTTTTATGTAGTATGTATAATACATTTGTATTTATTGATAAGCAGCTGTAACTGGGGACACGTGACTTGAGGACCATTGCAATCAATTCGTCTGGAGCCCTGTGTGAAACCTTCATTGGATTCATCAAACATAAATTCCATGCAGTTTGATTCAGTTTATCGTCCTATCCATGTATCATCATGTATCTAGTTATATCGGATATCCACCAACCTGTTTATTTGGGGGGCTTAACTAACACAAAAAGACATACAGTATGCCCCCCTGACTCGTTTGTCCTAGGGATGCCATGTGGCCATGTGCATCTCATTCATCCCACTATCCAATAGTACTACGAACATTCATAGACTGTGAATATGAGTGGTACTAAGATGCAAATTGACGTAGTACTAAACTATCTTGAATAACCATTGTTATATTGATAGTATTTACTTTGTTTCTGGGGTTTCATTTGGCCACATCGATCTTTGATTCTGAATCCATTATTTCGATGATTCTGATTCCATCCTGGTTTGCATTGCCCTTCTCAGGCACATTACCAACAACCAATTGCAACGAAAACAAAGCCATTTGACACGAAATTTTCTTAATACTAGTACTGTTTATCAACATATATCGGCCCTGCAATCCTCAGCCGGGGTAGGGTTTTTGCTGCCACGACCAGGACACCATCAACCGCCACAAGACCCGCGAGAACGCGCGCGAGGAGCTGGCGGAGTTCAAGGCGCGCTTGAATCGCGCCAAGGAGGACGCCGGAGGCTCGGAAGATCGATCCGGGAGTCGGCTCGGTCAGAAAGGGCGGTCCGACCAGTGGTTGATTGATGAAAAAAGGATGGTTTTTTCACATCTGTTGATCTTTTTTAACCAACATGGGGATGTAAGTGGATAGAACTTATAAATGATTTTTATCCATGAGAACTCTGAGAAGATATCCTGGGGAAAAATCTAGAACAATTCGGGCTTTGGGCTTTGGAAGTGTGTGATCTTTTTGGCAGTTGGGATAATTGTGTGGGGTTTCATGCTGGCTCTTTTTTGGGGAGATGTGCGTTCTGAGATATAGGTCGTTCAACATGAACATTCGAGGGTTTGATCATGAAAAAACAGGTGTGCTGACTTCGTTTGTCATCGAAATAAAATCTTGTCCGATCTTCAGTGGGATGGCTTTTAAACATTGCTGGTGATTTGCAAGGTTACCCTCTGGTAAACTAATATAGCTATTGAACATGGCCATTTATAGTGGATTTACCCACTGAAAAAATTGATTTCCCATAGTTACGTTAGTTTACCAGAGGGTAACTAGCAGGGTGAACATCCAGAACCAGCTACCAGCATAATTTAATGCAGCGCAGGTATGTAATTGGTAGAGTTCTGACCCCTACGCAGAAGTCACGGTAAGAGTGCATATTCAAATGCTGGGTCTTGACATATACATATTAGTATATCTACATTTTGTTCAACTATATTTTATTGACATCAGAAAATCCAATTGGCTCATGATATATAATGAATAGGAGATGGATGCAGATGAGGGATATCCCTCCATAAGGTGGGATTGTAGTAACCTTCAAAAGTGAGAAGGTGGCCTGCACCAACTGCATTATATAGCCAAGATGTATATTGTCAAGCCAGATTTGAGATCTTCCGAAAGTACAATGGGTTCATTGTTTTTTGTTGTGAGACTCATTTAAAGGTGTGTCATCTACAACATAGCTTTTATATGTAGAATATATATATATATACCTTAAGCATCAAGACCTGCAGAATTCCTCGTGTGTGAGGACATACCTCGTGTATTCTCAACTTTCAAGCAATACCTCGTGTATTGGGACAAAACCCCGGGTATCCTGGCCTCGCTCGCCAGCGGCTGATTGAAGGCTCCAAGGATTGGAAATCTATTGGAGATTGGAACCAACTTATCATCCAAAAGGATCTTACCATTGGCAACGCCACTATTGGCACAAGTCAGTGCAAGTCGGTTTACTCAAACAGCACACCAACTCCCCACGTGATGTGCGCAATGGCTTTTTCTTCACTGCGCAAGCTGTGCTGCATCCTCAGCCATAGTTACTCATAGTTGGTCCTGCAGTGAACTTTGCGCTGATTGGGCAGATTCTTTTGATCTAAAAATTTGATTCCTAAGTTTCTTTTGATCTGAGACACATGCACAACCGCTCACTTGATCCCACAGCTATTTAGCTTGAATGCGGCTTTGCTTTCATTGGCTTCCTTAGCCATGGGGAAAGGTAAGAAAAACCCTGACGGCCTTATGAATGTGGAAGGGCTGGCAAAAGAGTGGGATGCCAGTGAAGGACTTAGGGAGCGGGTGAGGGCTGGTGCTGACCTTCTTCACGAAGACAGTGGAAAGGGAGAAGACATTCCCACAGTTGTTCTCAACAAGGATCTCATTGCCCCTATGGTTGTGAGAATGGCCGCTGTTCCGGACAAAAAACCCCACCCACCAATTGAACCTTTGACTGAAGAGGTGGGAACCTTTTTTAGGTTGAGCAAACGGGTCCCTTTGCCAACATGGACTGACCTCCGGAAGTTGGCTTGGAGACTTCGCTACCTGGTTTGCTTTGTCAAAGCCAAAGCTCGCAGGGGTGAGCCATCCACCGAACCTCGCGTGCATTTATCTAGTGTTGGTTCCTCACAAGTAAGTAAAACTATTTTGCCTTGAAGCCAATTCTATGATAGAACATCGGTTTACCAACAAACCCAATGGTAGATTGCAGTAGTGTTTGTTTCTTGCTTTGGTGTTTTTTGGAAACTAACGCGCTGCATCCTGCAAACACTGAGAACGAAAACTTCCAGTACCTTTGCCTGATCTTACGCCCAGAGCTGCAGGAGCCTTGTGGGTTTGAATTGTCGGGTTGTGTTCAAGAACGGCTGGAAACATAAAGAGGAAAATGATAGTTGATCCATCCTGGGTTTCAAGTACCTCAAGACCACTGCTGGGTTTGAAACCTTTTAGTTCTTGTTTTGTTCTTTGGCCGGTGATTGCTGCAATAGTACTTATACTTATGCCCCAATTAAGTGCTGTTTTCATCATGCGGTGGTTGAGAGTATCATTCCCATGATCACTTACGAGAATAAAAAGAACACCTGGCTTTATTCCTTGAAATAAAATCCGCCATCCCTCTCTGGGCAGTCGCTTGTGGATGAGATCAACAGCGCGAGAAAGCAGAAAAGAATCGACGAGGACTAATTGGGTTTTTGGGGTTTGGGCCATGACTGGGTAGCCATAATGGGCAATAATTGCTGGCTGCATCTCAATACATGAGTTGTATCTTTTAAAAATAGGTTGACCAATCCTCCAACATCAATTTTAAGTTATGCCTGTTCAGGACTCTTCGGAACCCGAGGGAAAGAAGGAAGATGGTTACCAGACGAGTAGTTCATCGGATTCAAGCTCTGATTCAGAGAGTGAAGAAGACAACAAGACGGCAAAGACAGAACCATTGGAACCGAGCAATGCAAACAGCACATGCAGCAACAAGCAAGCGCAGAAAGAGAAGAAGACTGAAGAGACGAAGACTGAAGAAAAGAAGGAGAATGCAACCATCACTGCAGAAACAGCAGCGCCAGCGCCTGCCAGTGCAAGCCAGCCGCCGCTGGAAACGAAACCGCTCGAGTTGCCAATCTCTGACGAGAAGAGCCGCTCGTCTATGAATTATATAATTAAGGCCAGCCACTTGCTTTATATAAGGAGCCGCAGTTGCTAAAGTTAATGCATGCAAAGAAACTGCTAAAGTAGCTAAATTAAAAAAAATAACAGGGGGAAGTGGACACAAAGTAAAACCCAAATCGCCCAAACTGGGAAAGACATGTAAACAGATTATTACAAGTCTTGAAACTGTGGAGCATTCGAGTGTGAGCCTGTTTCACTTTCTTTTGTTTTGCCCTTTAACATGTTAGACGCTGTATCCAGCCATATCCTTCATCAGCATTCGTCCTGAACAGCTCTCAGGTACCAAACAGCGCCAAGAATTGGAAAAGCAAAGGGAGCAAATCAAGGCGAAGCTGGAAGAGCATCTTGGTTATTTCGGGTGGCCAGAAGAGTCAACATCCAATGGGGTGGACTAACCATTAACCATTATAGGTAATGCATGGAGCTGTTCAAGTATCATGTCAGTGCTTGAGATCAAGCAAGATTAAAATGAATCCTGTGGGGATATCTTTGGACGGTAATTATGAAATTGATCAGCAATTGTGCTTTCAGTAGTGTGCTGTCTCTTAACTATACTAAGTATCTGGTTGTTGCTCCACTTCAGGATCAAGAGAAGAAAGGCCATGAGTGCAGAGAAGCCTGACCCAGCAGCATCGTTACCACCGCCAAAGGAGACCAAAAAAGGTGAGAAACCAGGACTGGCAATGACAAATTCAATTCAGCATTTTGAATTACTGTAAGAATTTCCATCAACTTTCATGTGAAAGAAATGCAGCCATCAAGAGGGCCAACAACGACACAAAAAAAAAGAAAGCAAAGATTTCAAAGATGTTTTTTTTTTTCTGCTGTGGGTTAGAAACAATTCTTATCATGGGTCCGGCGTTGCCAGGAAATCATCCCACTGCAAAGCCAGACCAAGCTGAAACGCAGCCAGTTGACATCACGTCGCTTAGCCCGCCTGCCTCCACACCTGATGGAATAGATTCCCCTGGTGAGACGACAGAGGTCAAGCGGATCAAGTTTCAAAAGGCGAAGAAAGTTACCGACCCCAATGAGAAAGACCATCAGTTCACAGAGAGCGAGGGTGAGGCTATGGGGGGGTCTGCCATGCAAGCCTGCCAAACAATCCAACAAGTCTTTTCGTAAATTTAAAAAATATAGGTTAATATATATAATATATATAGAGATGCCAAGGTTTGAAATTCAAGGGCTCCTCAAGTTTCACCTTTTAAGTTTGCTTCCAACACCAAGTTTCTGTTGAATTGACCATCACTAGCACTCGCACAGGTACCAGCCGCAAGTACCAGCCGCGCGAGACAGCTCGAGCTCAAGGCCAAGGACAAGGACAACTCTTCTGGCCGTGGAAGGGGTAGAGGACGTGGGAGGGGTAGAGGTGGACATGGCAAGAGGAAGGATGCTGAAAATCAGGCAGGTGAGGATGAGCAAACACCACAACCCAAGAGTTCCAAACCCAAGAAGGAGAAACACGAAAATTGGCAATGGCTGGATCCCCGGGAAAACAACTGGGAGGAATGGGACCTTGAGACTTGGGCTACTCATGCATCGGATGCTGACTACTATGCTTGGGCTGATTCCCAACAAAGCCTTGCACAGATCACCAAGGAGTACAAAGCAAAAGAGACAACTCAAACAGAAACAGCTGGATATGATGATGGCCAGGTGGCAGCAGACAAGAGCAGCATCAAGCCCAAATCCACCAAGCGTAAGAGATTGAATGCGGATGATGGCAACAGCAGCAAGCATGGCAAAGGCAGAAAGCAGGATGCACACCCACAGGCATCAGCAGGATCAGAACCAAAACGCAGCAAGGCTGACAAGGAAAAGAAAAAGAAAGATAAGAAAGACGACAGCAAGAAAGGCGACAGCAAGAAATGTGACAAAAAACACAGTGACAAGAAAGGTGACAACAGCAAGAAATGTGGCAAGAACAAGACAGTTGTTGCTCAAATTCCCGAGAACAAGGCTGAGTTGTTCAAACTCGTGGTGCGTGCTGGCAAAGGGTTTTTGAAGCAGCAAGAGCACAGTCATGCGCAACTAGAGATCAAAGAATCTTTGAACAAGGGAATCCAACAGTGCCGACTCAACATTTACTGGAACCGGGCGGCTGTGGGACTGCACTCCAAAAAAGATTCCTGTGACTTTGCCTACTACCGCTTTCCCGTCTTCGATGTGAACTATGCCACACAAATGGCAGTTGTTGTGAAGGTGGGTGAACTTTTGGCAGCCCGGATGGATTTAAGATCGGTGTTTTTTAGACCAAAAAAGTTTTACGTATCGCAACACTCAGGCATGCATCGCTCAAGACCAAGCAAAACAAACAAACGTAACAAAGCACAGTTCTTGACTTTATTTCCTTCTATTATAAAGTTGAAAGGTGAACATAGTGCCAGCAAGTGGTTCCAATTTATCCTGGCTTAAGTCAATTTTCTTTCGCTTCTCAGGCATGCTACGTGGACAACATTGCTCCGGAGATTTTACCTTCTGAAAGCATTGGCAATCATCCGAAAGTGGTCTCAATGAAAGACTTACTCAAAACAGTTGGCACCGATGCGCTGGTAGAATTGTCGCATCGTTTGGGAAAGTGTATGTGATAGTGAAAAGGTTTTGGAATCACAAGCCGTGCGCTCACGCTTCCCAAGTTCTTTCTTGACCATTGTCTTGGGTTGCCAACTTTAAATCAAGTTGGCTATGGGGATCAGAAAGTGTATAAAGATTTGGGGATCTTAGGATGCGCCCAGCTTAGCTCTTTCTCACGCCGAGCTCAACTCACAAGAACTTACACCTATATATATGTATCTCATATAGTGATATAGTCTTCAAGCATATCTTCAAAAACATTATCCATAGTTCTGTTGCTATTTGCTGCTTACATGGCGTTGAGATCCCTATAGTGTGCCAAGTCAATTTTCCCTGGAGGGAACCTCAAACGAGCACGTCCTGAAAGGATCACGATTGATCATACCTTTGAAACCCTTAAGTATTTTTTTAATCAAATCAGTGTTCTTTTTAGAGAATGGGTTTGTCCATAAGTTAAAACTGCCAGGCCAGTCCGGATTGGTCCTCAGGGCATCCTTGCAAAAGCATCGATAGCAGTTCCACCTGGCCCGCAGCGACACGCCAGGTCATGGAACGCAGTGGGGAAAAATTGGCTGATTGGTCCAAATTTGATGCCGTTGATGTCATTTGTTGGGGGGCTTCAAAACGTCCACAGACCAACCAGAATAAAATACCATCACTTAATGTATTGAATGATGACTTTGCTTTGGTTTCCTGTCAGTTTTATGGCCATTGAATTCCTGATGCCTGACAAATGTCATTGGGGAAACGTGGGGAATCTATCATAATTAAATACCCAAATGTCTCACGGCTTCTGAGGTCATGCCACCAAATCGGTTGCTTCAGTGCAAAGATCGATTTGGGAGATCTTCCAAACAGAGACGTCTAGCTGGCCAGATTTAACCGTTCTGGTCAGAAGTTGCTGGGACATTAGGGTTTACTAGCCCACGACAACGGATCCATTGATGATATTCAGGGAAAGATGCATCTTAAAATGTTGGGAACCTTGATAGTGACCATCGACATTTTTGGTGATGTTCGCAACTTTGGATTAGAGCCTCCCTCGACTTGTGAGTGCAGAAAAGCACCTGCACCAGCCATGCTCCAAGTGGACCTTTTGATATGGCGCCTGCGCAAGCTGCGCATTCCCAAGGCTAGGGTTTTGTCAATACATCATGGTTGTGAACCAAGCCTGGCAAACTTAAACATCCCTGAATTATGTTCAACTGCATTGGATGGAAAACAAAATAACTCCATGCTTTTGCTAATATAACAGCAGCAGTTCATAGACCAACCACGATGTAGGCATATATATATTATATATCTTGAATACCGTGGAAGAAAACCTTGGGAAACCACATCAACTTATATGGAAAGAATCCGTCAGTTCCTGCAGGAGTTCGCTCTATGCCTCATGCTCATGATTTGGACCTACGACATCGAGGAGGCGCCTGGGTAGACCAGACTTTCCATATGAAACATCGTCCTCCCAATTTAATGTCTAAATGCGCCAATCCAATACAAAGAATATGGTATGTAATATATGCCTGCGTGTTCGAAAGATATCTTTCATCTTGTCAATGTGACATGGCTGGTTTCACACTTGGGTCCGGCAGGAATTTCAATGGCTCGAGTTCTTCGCAGGCGTGGGAAATTTGACAAAGATGATGAAGGCTTCGAACTACCGCAGCATGCGGTTTGACTTGGAAGACAACAGTCGTCCTTCCCATAGAAAATCAAATTTCATGGATCTCCTGCATTCCTCCGGATGGGCGATCCTTGCACCCAAATTCAAGACAAACAGTTTCCTAGTTTTCACGCTTCCTCTACCATATCTCCTGCTGAAGGGTCTAGATTGTTCTCACTGTTCTCATTGTTCTCATGTTCGTTATATGATATATGTTTCAACATCTGATTTCTATAATTTCTATATTAACCACGGGCCTTCATACCAAGGTTGGCTCTCTTGTGCATATTGCGAACGGTGTCCGGGAACTTTGCAGTACACTTCGGCATAAAGTGTGCAAGTTTCAGCAAGATGAATGTTGGCACAAGTATGAGATCTGCTTGTGCTACTTTGGGGGCGACTATTTTCAAGAGTGTTCATGAGTCGAACAAACTTCTTGAAAGGACTGCTAGTATGAAAGTCTGAACAAAGCCAAAATGTCTGAACTATCTCCTTAATTTGATTTCAAGCCAATTGTCAAACCGCCGTAGCCTCCACAGGACATGCCTCAGCATCATCCTTGTGACGGCCCTTGGAGGAACGTGGTCACTGGAGCAACCGGATGGAAGCGTTTTGATGTTCTACCCGACCTTTCGCTATATTCTGGCAAGTGTTCAAATGATTGGGGGTCCCTCCAGTGTCCAAATCTCAGTGATATCTCAGTGATCTATGGTAACACTGTTTCTCACAGCAACAAAATATCAACTGGAAATGATCGATGACTAAGAAATACAATATTCAATAGCCTATAGGTGATTGATTGGTAATCCGGTGGGGATTCTACAGGTCACTTTGGTCAAGTGGTGGATGGCACACTACGGGTCAAACACGGCCAAGCGCCACTACATGTTTGCCAACAACCCGGTGGTGGCCAAGTTGGACCGTGGCACCCTCGTAGGGTGGAAAAGGGTGGCGGAAGACAAGCAAACAGCTGTACGTTATCATGATTCATCAGGAAAGTTGAGGTATAAAGGTACAAGCAACCTGAAAAAAACTCAGATTCTTGCCTCGAAGTCTGGTTGCCCCAAAGAAAGCGATACTTCCGAAATTGAAAGAATGGTAGTACTGAAACTTACAACTTGCGGCGGCCCTCAAATGTGCAAAACAGTAGTTCCTTTCTGGGATTACCTAGAATAATTTTTTTGATCGATGTTGACGACACTTGTTGGCTTCGCAGGTCAATGTTTCACATACCATAATTGGGTTTTGCTAAGTTTTACTCTATCCATGGGCTCAGAAAACGCCCCCCAAATGGAAACCTGTTCATGCATATGAGTATAAAATGTCGTTTCCTTTACCTGGTTTATTTATGGTATTCCGGTAACTTGCTTTGTGGGAGCAATTCTGGCCACTGAGGATTTACCCCATGCAATTCGCTGGGGCTGTGACCGACTTGGTGGAGAAGATGAAGGCATCTTGCAGCGGTCAACCTGAGGCGCCGCCGGACCAGGTGCCGACTGCACTTGAAACTTTCCAAATGGAGTGGTCCACGAATCTCGATGATGATTTGTGGCAGTTTGCAGGGATTGAAAGTCTCTATGCATACCTGAGGAAAAATAAAAGCCTCAAAATTCCATCCGAATGGAAAGCCTTTGTGCCAACCTCTTTGAGCTGAGTGGCTCTAACATATTCAATGGATTCAATGAACTATATATCGTGATCTCATAACATCTCATAACCCAAAAATGGAAATGAATTCAGAGGAATTGCCAACAGTATCGGTTTGTGTTAAAACACAGTACCCAAAACAGTATGTACAATGAATCGTTGTTATTTTGAATTGTTTTGATGTTTTTTGTTGTGCATTTGATATTTTTCGGAATTTCGTACACCCTGAAATGGTTTTACAGCATTTTGATGGGAATTGTTCGGGTTTTGCAGGTTTGGGGTTCAAACCCATACTTTACCCGTACTAAACCCGTAGTTTACCCATACTAACCCATAGTATTCCAGGAAAACCCCGGGTATTCCCTCAAACCCTAACTTTTCCAAACCCGTACTTTACCCGTACTAAACCCATACTTTACCCGTACTAACCCGTACTTTTTTTTCGGGTTTGTCCACCCCCCGACAAGGTCAAATTTACCATGATTTTGAGGGGTCTTGCGAAATTCTCCACTGGCTAAACTGAGCAGCAAGTGAACTTTGCACACAACAATGTCTACGGGAAGGCACTTAGGGAATCCATTTTTGAAATTCAGTGTTGCTTGACGCAACATGTTGCAACACGGCCGTGAGATAACCATGGCTACCAACTGACTAAAAGTCAATTCAAGCTTTGACACCATTCACGCAAAGTTGTCTGTCAAATATGAGGGAACTGTTTTTTCCTGCTAGTCAGTATTTGGCCTTTGATCCATTTGCCAGTTGATCTTACTTTACATCGACGCATGTGTGCAGCAAATGTTGTTTGAATTTCCTAGATTGCGATGACGCTTATTTCTGAAGCATTTCTGAAGCAATCTTGCTACCAAAAAGCCTGTAGGTCCTGTAGGTGGTTTAGTTTCTTTTGGCTGCCGTTCACGGTGTGGTATTTCATGACTGGGCAGCCTGCCTCGTCCGACTCTCTGGTGGGAAGCAGCTGCGGCACCTTGGGTGATGGCTTGGCATTTGTTGAACAGGAGGTGCTAGGTCAGAAATATGCACTTCTAGAAGATGATGAGAAAGAACTTCAGCGGCAGCTAGAGGACCCTAGCTTTGACTCACTTCAACTTGAACTTATGGTTGTCAAAAGATTTTTTATTACTTGAAAAGCTACATATGTTAAGAAAGCTGTGTTGTACCATCATGGCCAGACTTGGGGTTCCTGGCAGGAAGTCAATAAGACTATTCAGACGCTGGATATTCAGCAGAGCCCCAAATCTGTCCTGAGCTCAATGCGATGTAAAGCCTTTCACTTAGCTAGCTAAAACAAACTGCTGTTCGCCCGAATAAGGCAGACACCGCTGATGCTGCTCCAGTCGAAGCACAGGATACACAGCCGGTCATGGCCTCAGCCCGTGTCTCTGTTTGGCACCAAAATAATTCTTACAAGGGATTGCCCATCCAGGCTAGAGTGGCGCCATTGCACAAATCCCATGTGTAGAATTTAGATATAATATATATAATTTATATAATCTATAATTTATATGATATATATATATATATGCATGCATGTAAGCAGAAATGAAGATAGAGAAACAACACCAAATCAGAAACAAATACATCATACGGAAACCTATGAATCAAAACAATTTGCTTTGTTTACACGGTCTCCAAGGCAACACCCGAAGAGATTGCAGCTTTTGCAGGGAAGATGGAACCTGTCCCTGCCTTGGTGGTTGCTGTAAAGATCAACAGTGTTGGAACTCTAATCGTGTGTTTGATCAGTTGTTCGAAAGATGATTTATCCAAGTTTTATTCATGAAGATCAATTTTGTAACAAATCAGACAAATCACTTTTGAAAACGAAAATGGGTTTGAGCTTAGGCATCTGGATCCGCAGATGCTGTTGGCAACGACGGCCAACCACCTGTGACTCCTCCTCTGAAACCTCCTGCTTCGCCACAGCAAAGTGCATGGCAATCACCTGTGCCTGAGGTAGTGCCTTCACCTACCACACCAGCTGAGTCAGTTGCTGAGTCCGAGCCCACGGAGATGCCCCCACCAGCAGTACCACCAACGCACACACCACAAGCACCAGCCGAGCCAGAGAAGACTCCAGAACAGAGAGCCGATGCTGACATCCCGGGTCCCAATGGAACATCTCGCAAGGCCATGTGTTTGACACAGCTGTGAACCATACTGATGATGCATTGTCATTTCTTGAAATTGTCAGTTCTTGTCACCAACATCACACCCCTGCCAGATGAAGCTCCGGCTGGCTTCAAAGGCAAGATTGGTCCGATGGATGAAACCCAAAGCCAGTCGTCAGGATCTGAATGCCCCTGAGTGGGTTCTCAACGAGTGGAAAACTGGTGATCGCAATTCTCTGGCAGACATGTTTGTCAACGAGAATTTTGACAAAGTGCCTCTATTCATTTCATACAATTTCCGATTTCCAATTGCGCCACATCAAATAAGTTGGTTCGGGAAACCATGGTTTGAATTCACAAGCAGTGAAATTTCCTTTGAATCTTTTGATTCCTTACCCATCCTAATGGATCTAATGGTGTGTTGTTTGCTTGCGTTTTGCAAGGCTCGCTTCGTCAACAAGTTGCAGGTGATTGTGCGCAAACGTCAGGCTGTGGAATTGACTGTTGATGAGGGCTGGTACTCAGAGCAAGAGATGAAGGACGATCTTGGCTGGGCTCAGACATGTCCTCAGACTACTTCTCATGTTCCCTTCAGGTAAGTTTCATTAAGACAAAGAACCATTGTCCAACTAACGAAGTAGTTCCTACAGTGACTGACTGTCAAAAACATGTCAAAAGATTTCAGAACCCCTTCTCAGATTGCGCCAGTGCTGGCTCAGGAAACGAATCGATGGGGCCATGAAACGGTGCAAAGAGCTTGGGGAAGGCTTCAAGAGGCCGCTGGTATCTTCTATTGAAATCCCTTGACTTTGGTCAGAACAGAAATTTGACAAACGAACAAAAGTGATTGCCCTTTAACTTTAGGAAACCATGTCCATGGTACTGGATTATCAAAGGACCCTCTTCTCATGTTCTCTAAGATGCAGGACCAACGACTACGATGGCATAGAGGAGTATTGGGTCAAGGTCTCTGAGCGTGGCAAAAGGAAGGCTGAAACCAGCTTCGAAGAGAACCACGTTAAGGAATCTGAGGCAGGGGCTGAAACCTTGACACCAATGCTCCAGCTTAACCTCAGCATGTGCAGGCGACCGGGGATCCAGAAGTTCCCACAGCTGGTTTTCTGAGCATGCAATCCCTCGATGCCTACAAAGAGAGGACTGAAAGTGCATGCAAGAAGGAAGTTGATCACCCGAAAGCAAATAAGTATGAGCAGGCGTGGTGTGTGTGTGTATTTGCAATTCCAATTTCAACATGTTCCCATTCATCTCTCAATCTTTTGACTTATCAACTTAGTACTTGGTGTTTTCTTTTGAACTCCAGCTTTTGACAGTCCAAAGAAGCTCTTCGTTCCGTGATGGCTTCCATGTTGAACAAGATTGGCAAGATCCGCTCTCTCATCAAGGAATGCTCTGACAAGTATGCTGACGAAGCTTCCACCAAGCTCTCTGTTTGCATGAGAGAAATCCCAAAAACATACACACATTGTTGGCCAAAGGGTGGTTGCATACTCTCAGACAAACCCGTAAAATTAGAGACGCTACAGCTGATAGCTCATGTTGTGGTAGACGCCCAAGGGCCATCAAAGACTTGGAGAGCCACGCCAAGAACATGGACATGCAGTATGACAAGTGCCAGGAGGTGTGGTGCAATGGTGAATCCGTGAAATTCACTGGAGAAACGCGCCTTGTCAACCATAGACACTTGAAAAACATGGTATGTACCATGACTTGGGATGAACATCTTCAGAACCCATAGCTATGTTTTTCCAAGCAAATCCGAGCTTAGGTGGTGGACCTCTGCTGAAGCACGAATGAGAGAGGCAAACTTAGAGTCCTCTCCTTACTTACTTATCATATCTGGACTAGTTGACTCTACTTGATTCTTTTTACCCACTACCTTGAAAGATCAAACTCTTTCCAATCCGCGGCCCAGGTGTTCCAAGGCCACGGCTGCCGAGATGAAAGCCAGGTCCGGTTGTAGCATTCCTGCCAAAATCAGTTCAAAGTAAGTGACAGTTTGTTGCCATGTGGGCAAGTAGATCTATTTCGGGTTATTCTGATGTGTCTTTATATTTATATCAGTATCTTCATTCTGGTTTACAACCCCATGTAATACCAAGAAAAACACTATCAAGCAACAGTGTAGCACCCATACTCAAGGCATTTCGTGTTGACTAATTATGTCACCCTTTGTCATCTTGGTGTCAGGAACTTCAAGAAGTACTGGAACAAGAAGGATCCCACCAAGCCCGACAAGCTGCCAAAGACCCAGAAGGTTCCCAAGGAGGACAAGCAGACTGAAACGAAAAAACGTAAGGCAGCAGATAAGGAGAAAAAGGAAAAGAAACATAAGAAGGATGATGGTCATGACACGGAGAAAATCGGACCTAAGTCCAAAAAGGTCAAAAAGACCAAGTAGAAAATTTTCCACGCAGGCTTGATTTCCAAGTCTACTCTTGATAATTTTGAAGGCGTCATGATGTGCCACATAGCATGCTTGGTAGTGCCAGTGATATGCCAAGACTTCGCAGCAAAGCATGTTCTCATACTTCCCCATCAAAACCAAACAATGTCATCAGTTGTTCCAGTACGGGGATGCCATGTGTGAGTGGCACTCATGTGATTTATTGGCTTCAATTTGTGCATGTGGTCGTTCGCCGCAGCCCACACTTGCCTGAAATGGCATCGCGCTTGAAGTGACCTAGGAAGAACACCGGAGGGGCCGGTGGTGCAGCTGAAGAAAAACATGCATCACTTTTGCTTGGTAGATTTGATACTGGGTGGTATACGTTGATTGGTATGAATCCCTCAGAATAAATCCGTTGCTATATGAAAAATATGTTGTATGTTTTTTTGTCCATGTGTTTTGCCAGTTCCCGGGAAATGCCAGGTGAGCCAGGACATGCCCTCACCACAGCAAGCCAAGAAATTAGCCAAGGGGTCCGGTGCCTCAAAACTTGGATTGTCACTGTCTCTAACTTCGTCCCCGTACTGTAACCCATGATCGGCAGCATTTTGGCTTTACAGTTTGGGGATGCCTCTCATACATGATGCTTGCATCTAGCAACAATGGAACATGATGAGAGCCCTGAAGATTGGTTGTTGGATCTCTTCACGTCTCACCGCTCAGAATCTTGACTGGACCAAATATGATATGATTTGATTTGGTTCATTTTTAATCATTGTTATGTAGATTCTTTATATCGATATCTGTTAATACCATCCACCAAAGATGCAAATGTTGTACTTGTAATTTCTGTTCATATATATTTTTTGATCTTGCTGACCACTGCCAATGTTCCAGTGATGGAAGGACGAAGTGGTACCATTTCCATGGAAAACTCACACCGTTGCTGACAGTGATTGCAGTGGGCAACTGTTACCTACTCATGCGACAGTCAATGGACATGATTGCAAGAATGAGACCGAGCGTTCAAGTGGTATTCTGGGTGTTTACCAAAAACGTTTTCCGCACTTTGCCCAAGAGTTGGCTGAGTGCAAGGCCCTGAAGTGCATTGCTTTTGAACTTCCACAACTCGACATACCTGCTGGCAAGGTTCTTCGGCATTCAGTGTCGACATTCGAAAAATTGTTCAAGGCGCAGAGTCCAATGATCTTCAAAATCGGCTTCACACATAGCCCCTCTTGGAGATGGTCAAACACCCTGTATGGCTACTCTAGAGCAAAGGACCGATGGTGCAACATGCTGGTGATGTACGTGTCGCCAGAACCACATTCGCCAGCTATGTTGGAGGCAGCTTTAATCGACAAATTTGGTAGTAACTCAACTGTGCATGTGCAAAGTTTTTCTTTCAGGCGCCAATCCCTGCACACTTTTCTGTAGTACATGTCAGTAGTTGGTGATTGCCACATGTCCCACTTAGGCCTGCCTGGATGTAGAAATGTCAAGCTCGGTGGGGACACCGTCAAGGACCACATGGCCTCGGAGATTTCCATGTACATGACCTATGTTGTGTACAAGTCTTTCAAGTTTCCACCGCCAGTCATGCCACAGAGCCACCGTTAAACCATTTAGTCTTTAGGATCTTTAGGTCTTTAGGTTTGAGTTTGATTTTGCTCGAAGCGATGGAGCAACAAAAAGGAGCGAGATTTTCTGATATGTCACTGGCAAAATCCGTCAAACGTTTTCCAACATGCCATCTTAAGAAAGTTATGGAATCTTGACTCATACATGAGCAGGTCTGCTAAAGAAGAAATCAAACCATCACAAATCCCTACGCGTGATGTGTACAAACATGCAGTATCATGTTCCGCTGTCGCGTTCGCTGAGGCCACTTGCAGATTTACAATTAGGTCGGCCCGTGGAGTGGTGGCAGACTTTGGGGAGAAAGTAGCGAAACAGTCTACGGGTTTGCTGGATCTAGCCCGATGTAGTGAGAAGAACTCAGAGAGGGATGCTCATCGAGTTATGGATTCACACGGGTTGGGCTTACCAATTCCAATGACAAAACTGGAGGTCCAAATATCGGAACTTGATATGCAAATTCTACGCCTTCGTGATTGGATGCAATACATTCTGGAACACAACTGTTTCCACATGATGTGTGGGCTGATGGCCCCTGATACACAAAGGGAGTCTGCTATCCTATCTGGTTTCTGGTCACGGTACCGGCAGCAAAACCCAGCTCATCCTATTTATGCTATGGCTGAACGAGGGGAGCTACACTTGGCACAAACAGTGCCAATTGTTTGTCATGGAGATGAAGGTCGTGGTGCCAAGAGGCAACACCTTTATGGTGGTGAATTTCCATGGGCTGCTTGGTAGGGGAACGAACTCTCAAAGAAAACGTGAAAAACAGTGTGGCATAAAGCCGCGTTACGTGAGACACAATTTGTCTTTCCGGGGCCACACCTACACCAACCGTTTTCTTTTCGGATGTATGCCTAAACACTGGTATGGTGTTGGGGACAGGGAACATGTGTTCGATGCTCTTATGACAGCTGCGGCACAAGAGGCAGACTTCTTGGCGACTACAGGGGTGAAAGACCCAAACTCGGAAAGAACTTATCACTGCATGATGCTGGGCATATGTGGGGATTGGCCATGGCTGCAAAAAAGTGGGAACTTGAATCGGACATTCAATCACGTACAGAAGCGGTTGAACGTACGCAACCCCCCCTCTGGGATTTGTCATCTTTGTCGTGCAGGTCAAGCTGATATTCCGTATGAGCAAATTGGCACTCGTCGACCGCTTTGGTTGGAAACGCAAAATCAACAGTCACCTTTCAGCTCCCCGTCGCCTTTCCAAGCCATACCCCATGAACCAACTAGATTTGCGGAGCTTTGGAAATTTGACACGTTCCACTGTTTTCATCTTGGTGTGGGTCGTCAATTCTTGGGATCCTTTTTGGCACTGCTTTCGGAAATTCAAGAAGGTGGAAGTGTGGACGAACGATTTGACAATTTGTCTACAGCATACTTGACCTGGTGCAGGAGGGCAAAACGAAATGCACATCTGAAAAAACTATCAAAAGAGCTCATTGCTTGGCCAAAGACTACGGTGTTTCCAACGGGAAATTGGAGTAAGGGGGACCTTACCACCAGTTTGATGATGTTTGTTGAGGACAATTTCAAAAACCACAATTTTGATGACAATCCACTTCTCAAATTGTCATGGGAAGCCGCTGCTGCAGCGAACGAATGCCTACGCGTTTGCTACTCGCGCCCACTTTTTGTTGATCGTGATGATGCAGCATTGATTGCCAACCTGGGTTTTAGATTTCTCCGGCGATATGATTCTTTGGCTGGCCTTGCTTTGCAGCAAAACCGGCCATTGTACATCATACAACCAAAAGGCCATGCTTTTCAACATGTTCTGATGAGCCTGCTTACTTCCTTACAGGATGCTTCTGTTCAGTTTTTTATGAGCCCGCTGGCATGGAGCACGCAATGTGATGAAGACTTTGTTGGGCGACCGTCACGGTTAGCCCGAAGAACGAAAGTAGGAAGAATACAGGTCAGAAGAGTGATTCAAAGGTACCTAAAGGGTGCCTACCATGAGTGGATCAAGCTAGGGTACATTCGCAGAAAAGCCAAACGATGAACAATCAAATATAACTGTCTGATATATATATATATTTTTTATGATGTGTGTCTAGTGATGTGCTATGTGTCAGTTTGGCTGCATGCTCAATGTGAGCTCAGGCTCAGACGTTAGCAGGATGAACGCGTTGTTCAAAGATCCAAGATGTCGCATGCAGCGGGCGAAATGGGGCATCACACAACTGAATGCAATTCTTTCATGGTTGATCATGGTTGTATAATTTGCTGGATTTGGAATACACCGTTTTTTTTCAATACACCGGGTTTTCCCCTGAAAGTATGGGTTTTCAGTTAAACCCTTAGAATTTTGCGTGTATGGAAGCTGAAGGTATATATATGCACATCTACCGGATTCGGTAGGTGAACCCAATGGAGTGGATCCTGAGGAATGGAAGGTTCGATGTCTCCCATCTATTTCTTGGAGGACCGGCTTGGCCATTTGGACATGACAAGGCCATACAGGGCCACATGGATTCTATGTATTGTGTGTATATGGAGGTTTCCTAAAATGGGGGTACCCCGAAATCATCCATTTCAATAGGCTTTTCCATTATAAACCATCCTTTTTGGGGTACCACCATTAAAGGAAACCTCCATAATATGGGTGTTCCAGAAAGTATTCCGAAATTGCAAATTTCAGAAGGACAATGATGAACAACCAACAATTAAATACCCTAGTTTTGGACAAACCCATATCTATTTACAGGACATATATGCATACGCTGACATGACTATTGATTATTTAACATACATTTGGACTCATCCCTTTCTATTTCTTTATACTATGTAAATATGTATATATATATATATATATATAACTCAGCATTCAAATATGTATTAATATAGATGTATTAAATTATGTTGAACCACTGACCAGTGGTTGAAGAACCATTCCTGGATCAATACCTTGATTTCTTGGGTGAATGGTTTTTTCCTTGTCATTTTGACGGAAAATGGACTCACCAGCTAAAATCTCACTTTGTTTGCAAGGTATCCAAGATATCTAGGAACGGTCCCTATTAAAAAGATGGTTACTGTTATAACATGTTATAACTATAGGAATACCACCTTATCGTGACATGATTTTAAGCATATACGAGTTATTACGAGTTATAGCATTCTATCACCCCAAATTAGCTGTTGGTCAACCCCCCATGCAACTTGGTGACGAAGATCCTATCACTCTGCGCAACTCCTGGGCCGAGAGGATTGGCCCCGATGCATCATTTTCTTCATGCGCATGCTGCAGATTTTGCGCGGCCTGTGCGTGGCCTGCGATCCTTGCGCTGAGATTGTCGTTTGATGTCTGGTGTCTTTGGGGTTCATCACTGGGATTTAGCCATCGAACAGTATTTGGGCATTAGGAAAATGGTGGTATACTGGGATACAATGAGACAGAATGGGATATAATGAAGATAATATGGAGAAACTTTTACCAACTCACTGCGATGTTGTTGCAGGTTGGTGATTTATTGTAACTTACCTAGATGAGTGGTTCTGACCTGGCTTGTCAATTTTTGAAATTTGCATACATTTGCTATGTTTTCTTGGGATACTGCTCAAACATGAATCAGACATGTTGACTTTTTAAAGATCATAGCACGAATTGTCAGCGGAGAGTTTGTTTGATTCCGCACAACATTCACAAGCCCAGTCATCGCCAGTCAACCATTGGCTGACTGACTGGTGACTCATGGTAAGTTGGTTTATGGGTCCCAGGGCATAGACTTATATATATATATAGATGCAACAATTACGGTATCCCACTGAATGGTCCAATGGTTGGTGAGTATAAGAAATATCATCTATCTACAATACATTACATTCCCAATGGTATATGTATATCTATAATCCCACTTAAAAATCATATTCAAACAGATCGAAACTATCCTAATACTCTTCTTGTTCGCACATCCACCGGAAGGATCCCTTCACTTCAATCAATGGACTTGAGCCCCCAAATGATAGCGACCTCACCATGAGGTCACTAGAAATGATGGTGAGTTGTGAGGATCATCTCACACTTGGCATATTTTTGCCAGCAATCGTGAATTTGTAAAAGAAACATGATCATTATATATAATATATAATGATATTACAATATAATATACACAAAATATCATAATTTACATTCTTAAATCTCCCAGAATCAAATTGACTTCAGATTTCCAGGGGTAAGACCTATTTCACTATTTGATATGTCTTCATGTGTATATTTGCAATCAAATTGCTGGAGACTTATTACATGATTTCCCAGAGGCTTCAGAGTTTCCCCAAGGATGCGGAAGGCATGCCCTTGCTGAAGATCTTCTCCAGCCATGCCCGAGAGGCCTTACAGGAGGGATCCAGGCGCGTCCGATGGCCTTGTAGAGCCGTCCGAGGCTTTTTTCGGGTGAGGGGATCAACAAAAATGGCTGATTTCAGCCAAACAAAAGCAAGGATTGACTTGCTGCGTCCCAATTCCCAAATTTTGGTGGGATTTATAGAAGATGATTTGCATGAGGGGAGTATATCTCGGGATTAGGGGATTTCTATTATCCTGCCCTTAAGCCCCTATCAATGGAGTATACTCAGTATGAAGAAAACAGGCAGAGGTTATACCGTAGCAACCATCAAAAAGATAGAAAGTTGGAAACCCGGAAATTATGGGGAGAACATCATCATCAACATCCTGGAAAACACTGTTCTTTTTTTTTGTTTGGGGGGTTACTATATAACCTTTTGAGCGCAAAGTGAAAGTGGAAAGTGAAAGTACTATACTGCAAAAAAAACCAGCTTTAGTTGGTATCATCAGCAGGCAACAGATGGGGTATTTCAATCTCCGGAGGTTTCGGTGCTCTTCCTGGATGCGTCACAGACTCTCCCATTGCTCGGCTATACCCGAACTGTTCGGCTTGGTGACTTCTTCTAATTTATCCAGATGTATAATATATATACATATATATAATTAATATAATATATAATAATATATATATAATATAATATATATAATATATATATTATATATATATATTACATTACATAATAAAATAAAATGATATATATACAATCACACAATGAGAGTCTAAAAGATATAGTGAGATATACAGTCATGTAATGAGATATAGTGATATGTCACTGATTAGCCCCTTGAAGTTGCGCCATTATATGGCTTCCGTTGAGGCGGCAAATGCTCAGCAGCAGCCTGCGCATCTTTGGTGGCCGCGGGGATGGCATTGGGCACGAGACGCCCTTTACCCCTAAGGTGCTCCGCCTGGCCTGGAAGTGAATCCATATAGTCCTCAGAAGTTCAACATGGAACCTATGGAACCTGAAAAGTTAGAGTCTGGAAGATCATGTTTTCATAAACATTCATAAACCATCCCCCAGTCATCACCATTTTTATGGGTGGTATAAACTTACCATTCCTATTGGATGTCGTGTTTATGGTGTGTGGGCTGGGGGCCCCAGGTGTTTTTTCTTTCAGGGGTGTAGATCCGGAAAATCCACCATGGCAATGATCAATGCCTAGGAATCCGTCAAGATGTTCCCTAACTGGCGAAAAAAACCCGCTTATAAAAGGGAAAAAATGCTATGATCCTCCAAGTTGAGTTGGGGATAGGCTGTAGTCATGTTAAACTAGTTGGATTTTTTCTAGCATTTTCATACCTTGGACAATATGATAATTCTGTTTATCTCATTGGGATTTTCATGTTTTTTTCACCGCCATGTTAGATTGGCAGATGGTATTTCGACTGAGCGGTGGTAGACAAAACTGGATCATGGTTTAAGTAAGACTATTTCTACACAAGGGAATGCTGACTGGGTTTGGGTCCCCAAATTCATTTTTGGAATCCTTGCCTTCAGGAAAGATCTCTGACCAAGCATGGATCTGGCGGCAAAATTCTGTTCGGACGCCTGTTGTGCAACAGCTACTGTAAATAGTGTATGTAATATATAATGATAATAATGATGATAATAATAATAACAAGTGTAATAATAATAATGATTAATAATAATAATAACAACAACAACAACAACAATATATATATATATATATAATTGTATACATATATACATGCGCATTATACTACATACTGCTTGGTTGGTAGGCTCCAAAAAAAGAATGCTCCCTTTCCTCGTCCCCTTTTTCAGGCCAGAGTGAGTCGGGATTCCACTTTGGAATCCCAACTGCAGCAGAAACTGCAGGAGCTGCAGTGTCTGGGCATGTGCTTTTTAGATTTCATGGGCTTCGTGGGTTTGCCTTGGTATGATGGGATAACTTGGGTTAATGGTTAATAGTTGTTAATAGTGGTTGATAGTGGTTAATAGTGGTTAATGATATGGTTAATGATATGGTTAATCATAGTTGATGATGGCTAACAATGGTTTGCCCCCCAGTGGCATGAAACATGGCTGGCTGGAAAATACCGAACTAAATGGACGTGTGCATGGGACAATCATCTACACTTGGGGATTTTTTTCTAGCAAACCATGTTTGATTACCAGAGGGTACCAGATATTATGCTTTTGACGGTCTATGGTCTGCGATGCTTTGTCACTTAGCAATTCGGAGTGTTTGAGAGATTGTCACACTATTGGTGAGATGATTACCCTATGGTAATCCATGGGCGTGTTGAAAATTAAACATACATGTAGAACATGATGACTTTCCATTGCCAGGCTTGATTACTAGAGGTTAGATGGGTCAGCCACTTGGAACCAATTCACCAATTCATGGTAGGGTTTTTGATGGGGTGAGGTCTACCAGAAGGTGGGAGCTGATTCATTTTCATCGGGTCGTCTTCTTGATATCCATTTTCATGGGGGAACATGTCGTAAACTCATGTTACCAAATTGATAATGATAATCAGCTTAAACATGCTTAAACCGTGTTGATGAAGCAAAGTATATTGTTGTTTTTTTGGATGAAGCTCCATGCATGGTGGCTATACAGCCAAAAAATCTCACACCGTGTCCCTGAGGTCGCGGAAGCAGGTGGTGGGCGCTCAAGTGGTGGTGCTCCGCGATAACAAAGTGATCTGCAGCGTCGCGCATGGCACGTGCCTTGGCAAGACAAGGAGGTAGCAGTGGGTGCTGATGAAATATGCTGATTTATTGTGGGATATGATATAATATGATGTATATATATATACATGTATTATTAATTAAACGCCGTGATAATTGTGTTTCGTCTCTTTATAAACAATATCATTATCCATCATTTGGGCATGTAACGGTCTTATACTCCAGTCTTATTCTGAATATCCATGAATATAATCAAGTATATATGTATATATGTCATGGTCAAAAGTTAGATTAGATTAATTAATTCATTTTGGGGGCTGGTCATCAATCTATTAATTTGTTGTTTTCGCAACTAAACGGAATTCCTAATGTTGGTGGGATGACCAAAACCCCTTGGTTTGACCGCGGCAACATAAGAGCAGGTGTCAAGAACCTGTTGGACAATCAATGGGGCTATGAAACTGGTGGCAATGGGTGTATCTGAAACTGGTCTTATACCACAAACTAGTATTTTTGTTCATGGTGAGAATGACGATAACTCATTGCATTTTGGCTTACCCTGTTTTCCGAAAAAAAAACCGTATTGCCAGGGGTCAAATTTATTGGACCCCCCAAAATGGATGGTTTACCCTCCAAAACAATCATAGACCATGAACATAACCAATTGTTCCAATCCCCTATTAGCAGGGTCTATGTTAACCGACTGGAGGGTAGCACAAAGACACAAAGACATAGAAAGAGAGACCAAATGTATGGGTTCCTGGGTTCCGTTGGTAGTCTTCACGTTGCCCCAGATTGAGACAGCCTTTTTGGGGCTGTTCAACTGCAGGGTTATCTTTTTAGGAGGCACTTGTGAGGTCCTTGAGGATGATCACCCCTGAGGTTATGAGCATTGGCTCTGGATCGTAAGCATTTGCTTGGGATGTAAACAACAAGAATGTGGGCATTGAAACAAGAACCATATTGCTGCCTTAACAAAAAAATATACCAATATCCGGGGTTATTTCGGGATTCCTCTCTACTACCCTATATTTCGATGGTATATCCAATCAATCCAGTTTTGTGTGGTATATATATATATATATACGACCCTGAATTAACAACCCTCTGCTTTGTACATTGTTTGATATCTTGTTTAGCGGTTTACCACTTTTAAGAGTGATCAACCATTGTTTCTCAATCCAGGCTTGAGGATTTATCTACAATACTCTCCTGTATTTGGATGGCAAAGTCAAAACATCAACAACAACATAATTCCGGCTTAGTTTTCCACATGTTTCCCACATTTCATCACATGTTCCATATATTCATCCATATATTTGTCAGTTTTTTGTACCCTAACAGCCCTAACATCTTTTTGTTGAGCCCTTTTTTAAGCCACCGGTAGTGGTTTCGGGTCCCCGACCTCGACAAATTCTCGCGGATCCAGGTTATCCACCATCGACGCCCGGCCGGTCCAGGAGCAGACCCGCTTTCCACTGCTCGGGGCGACCGCAGGGCTCGCGGGGCACCTTGGACCACCGGCGTTCGACCGCGGGGGCCGTTCACAAGGGGTGGTGCCCCAAGAAAAATGGGGATGTCACGGGAATTCTGGCTGATTTATGATAGCTAAATTGGTTTATACATATATATATATATATCATTTTATATCTCCAATTTCACTAGCGTTTGTGGTTGTACGCTTCAAGGGGATGATCAGCCAAACATAAGTGGCGGGTAGGGTAATCCTATCCCACTAATATGAAACACGGCCTAAATCGGCCCCAATATGTGTAAATCCCCCCACCATGTTTCTTGGGATGTTTCAGATTAATTCGGACGAAGGGATTAATTATATTATATTATATTGGGCTGGGATGTGAATAAGTCGAGATCGCCATTTATAATCATTTATTTCCCCATGTGGTACATTCTGCATGGTGGATAGTTGTGACATGGGGAGATCTTTTTAAATATACTGTTGTTTTGGAGAGTCATCCACTAATCAACATTCAACGCTCATCCTATCAAAACAAGAAAAATGATCGGCTTGGTGAGCACTGTAAGGAATCAGGAAGTGTAGTTTGTGTGGCTGCTCCCACACATGGTAGCACAATGAGGGTGTGAAAGAGAAGCCTGGTGTGATCTGAGTATCCCCCAAGATAAACTTAAGGACAATCATGCAAGTGGGATACTGTATCATCCACATGAAGGGAATGTGAGCAAAACAAGGTGTTTTTTTCCCTATCAAAATAGCAAGTTCGATATTTTGATGTATACGGTACCATATTATAGGCAAACCCATATGATAAACCTCGTTCCCAGTCAGGTTTGGAGGTTGTAGCTCCCTGATCTGCTGGCGATTGATGGTTATATCATATCAGAACTGTTTTTCCCAAATGCGTAGCAAGGGTTCCCGTTTCACTCTGGTTGTCTGGGGGTTGAGGGTGTGTTCGCTCGACGTTGCGTTTACGTCCGCGACCGTCCGCAACCATCCGCAACCGTTCGCAACCGTCCGTGCGAGGTCGCTATGGCTGTGCCTCTTAGGTTCTGCAAAAGGGGTCACTTTTGGAGGTTTCACATGTGGCGTTGCTTCGTTTCGCGTGGCAGGCATGGCACTTCGTGACATTCAGACGTGTTTTGTAACGTGTCGAAAGTCGTTTAGTGTGGCAGGCGCAATACTTTTGCATACTTTTGCGATGTTTTCAGAAGATGTGTTCCAGTTTTCGTGGCAGGCACAGCACTTTGGACGTGTCCATCTTCATTTCGCGTTGTGATTTTTAAAAATCGCATTGTCAGGGCTGGGTATGGGCTGGATCAAGTGGTGACAAGGTGCAAATTCCGTGGCAGGTGTGGCATTTTGTGAGATGTGCTGAAAATTGATGGAAGCTTTGCACGAAACATCGATTTTGAGGTAGCAAATTGGAGGTTCATAAGAAAACTCGTAGGAAAACGTCGATTTCGAAGCTACAAAGTATGAAAATTGGAGGACGTCTCGCACGAAATGCTCGTTTTGATGCTCCAACGTGTCTCGTCTTGAGTCTCTGGTTTTCCTGTGGCCTCGCCCTCGCCGTGTCTATGGGGGAAGCTGCAAAACCTCTCCCTTTCGCAGGTTTCCAAGTAGGTTGTCATGTCGTTTTGCGTGGCAGGCGTGACCTTTTGTGACATTACCAACCTGTTTGATAACGTGTCGAAAGTCGTTTTATCTGGAAGGCGCAATAATCCCTTCCTCCTAATACTAAACGTCCCCCTAATACTAAAAACAGGCATCCATCTCCAATTTCCGAAAATTTCAGTTTGGCCAATTTGACTTTTAATTGATCCCCTTTAAAAAACAATTTAAAAATCAACCTACCATTTGTGGGTTCTCCCCCCTAATATTAAAAACTAGTTCACCCCGGGGTGTTTAGTATTAGGGGGGCCTAGTCCCAATCCCTCACTCCAAGCTGCCTGGCTACTCTAGCAATTAGGGGTAAGCTTCGAACTGCCATTTTTGGCAATATTTTAATTGCGTTATATAAGGAAATTTAATTGATTTTGAGTTCGGAAAAAATAGTTTTTAGTATTAAGGGTTTTAATTTAGTATTAGGGGTAAGCTTCGAACTGCCATTTTTGGCAATATTTTAATTGCGTTATATAAGGAAATTTAATTGATTTTTGAGATCGGAAAAAATAGTTTTTAGCATTAAGGGTTTTAATTTAGTATTAGGGGTAAGCTTCGAACTGCCATTTTTGGCAATATGTTAATTGCGTTATATAAGGAAATTTAATTGATTTTGAGATCGGAAAAAATAGTTTTTAGCATTAAGGGTTTTAATTTAGTATTAGGTAAGCTTCGAACTGCCATTTTTGGCAATATTTTAATTGCGTTATATAAGGAAATTTAATTAATTAATTAACATGACTTCGATTTGGTTTCCTAATAATAAATACCCCCCTAATACTAAAAACTACCTGCCGTGTTTTGTATTAGGGGGGGGGGTTTAGTATTAGGAGGAAGGGATTACTTTTGCGTCGTTTTTTGCAGCTTTCCTGGCAGGCGCAGCACTTTGGAGACCTCTATCGTCATTTTGCGTGGCAAGCGCAGCACTTCAGACGTGTCGCATTGCGTGCTCTACACTTTACACTTTACACTCCGCACTCTACACTCCACACTCCACCCTTTACACTTCACACTCCACACTTCACATTCC